CTTGCCCCCCTCTGATTTCCTCCATTCCCCACGGACTTGTAACTTTCTGCTCATTTTCTTTCCTTGGATGAAAACCACCCACAACATAATATTTTACAACTTGGTAAATCCAATGGCAAATAGTGGCTATTAAGGAATAATTTGTTTCGCTTTATGACGTGTCACTAAAGTCACAATCAAAATCTTGTATGCATTTAATAAATATTGTCTGTATGCAAAATTGTGGATGAATATCGTACTAAAAGTTCAGGGATAATTATAAACTAAAGATAGAGACATTTTCATAAATGTCATATCACGTGCAGCAATTACGGATCACATTACAACTCGGCAAAAACCTATTTACGATTCGAAACAGACGATCTCGCTGAAACTGATACCGATTAGAAATACCTCGGAGGAGAGGACAAGTGCCACGAACAATCCTCTGAAATTGTCATTAACCAGAAAGATCACGAGAGAGAGGAGAGAGAGTAAACGTAAAGATGACTTCCACATTAAATCCCACCGTACTGTGTCAAGCCAATTATCTCATTACAACATGAAAAGAGACAAGATGACAACTAGTGACTATGATCTCTTTGCAGCAGTCTACAAATCCACAGCAATTATTTGTCACGCCATCCGTTTCGAAATTAGGAAGGAAGTAGTAGCAGTATGACGAGGACGAGAAAGCTGCTACAAGTGCCACAGGTTCTCTCTCTCTCGACAACCGAGAGTAAACGCCACACATATTTTTCCAGGACAATTTACAGCCTGCCATCCATTAAAAGCAACGGTGTAATAACCACCACATACGAGGTATACAAACGACACTCGACATATCATAAATCTTGTGTCTCAATGACATGGTCTCAATTGGAATTGAAGAGGCTGGGCTTATTGTTGAATTATTAATACTGTGGTAGCAATAAGCTATAAAATAGATAAATATGAAAACCTCTCGACAAATTTTTAGACCGTGGCAAACTAGGATTACTTCTAGTCAACAGGGCTCATCGTCAGTTCAATTTAGAATGCGTATCCTACGCCAATGTGACAATGAATGTTGGATGAATTTTCTCAAATTCTACTCAAGAGATTAATTAATTTTTAAAGAACAGTAATTTTATAACTTTGAAGTGACGTAGATTATTATTACAATACTTTTAAATTACATTATAAATAAGTTTGGATGTCAATCTTTCAACTTTCTCAATTTCCCCAACCGTCATCGTCTACGTAGAACTACTTTCATTTAGAAGTAAATACTTTCTGAATGACATTATCTAATTTGTACAATAGATTTGACTAGTTTCTATTCCCATATTTCTTGCCTATGTATTTTTGTTGACAATGTTTTACTGAAGGTCAATATCGTAAAAAACATAAATTTATCATGGATTATTGGCTTACATCCAGGAGACGGTAGTTGTTTCCTTGTACATCGATACGGCTGGTATGTGCCGGGCTCCATTTTTCCGTACATTGTACGATCCATGGTTGCTTTGTTCAACAATGAAACTTTCTACTTTCACTACGCACTAGCTAAATGTATTCTATACAATGAAGACCATAGCTCGCTGCACTAATTACACACCCGTAGTTGCATGCAACTTGTTCATGTTGGTTGACATGTTTGCAAGAAAAGTGACCTGACGAGAATTTAGATTTCACGATTTTCACAAAAGAAACGCCTGTAGGAAAACACTAATGAAAAATTAAAATTAAGTCCGTCGAATAGCCACCAGTCCAGTTGAGTAGATTATAAGTCATTTATTTATTACCCACTGGTACTCTCTCGTGACCAGTGATGATATTTAAGCTGCTGCTGCACCTTCTACAAAAAGAATCACATGGATTCACACAGCAAAACTAAACATGCTCGCAGAACGCCAAAGTTATTACAAGTTCAAAATCTCTACATAAAACACAATGTCTCAGATTTCACGTTTTCACGGATTGGAATCATTGCCTACTCAAATACATATAAATTACTGTACGCAACTCAACTCTTTTTTAGCCTAGCTAAAATTTAGAGGTTTGGCTTGTCTGGGTAGTTTGGTTTATGCACTGGGCAGAGCACCAAGAAACATGAATTTAAAAGTTGGGTGTATAAAAGGCAACGTCAATTAATGAAAGTCGTGGATGGAATAAGTTGCTGCTCCCTACAACAACCTACTGCTTACTACTCTTGATTTGAATGTTTGTTCTGCAATCTGCAAAGATCTGACAGTGAATTTGTCCAACTCTAACCAACAATAATGCATACGATATCCACAGAGCTGATGATATCCCACCAACTACAACAACCAAGCAAACTGGCTGTACTTATAAGAACGAACGAATGGTGTTGTATATATAGTTTCTCTTCCTCATGTGTCCAAATTAGTTTAATCGTACCAAAGCAGCAACTATCTGTTTATGTAGTTCCGATGATCCAGGATTAGATTTGATACGAAATTCATAAGCGTCTAAGAAATTGTTCAGTTGGGCCTTGCATTGTTGACTGCATGTAAGTTGAATCGGGAACTTGAGAAAATTTGACGCCTACATGTAAATACGTACTTAAGATGCGCTGATGCACACACTCTTTTCAATTTAAATTATATAAAACCATGCACTTTTCGCCCAATCAATCCTTCCTTAGGTGAAGGAAAAATGATTTATGCCAACTGTTCTGATTATTAATCTTATTTTCTGAAACTCGTGTTGACACTTTGTCTTTATGTGCACGCACCACTCGACTCCAGTAATGATACCGTGTCAGTGCGTATAATTTTGGGGTTCGCTATATGTCATTTATTACAATAAATAACGCACAAATGTGTCGGCGATAAATTAAATTGCATTATGGGGAAAATATATAAGAGGAAGAAAGGATGTAGCAAGGGAACACAATTATATGGAAAAGACGAGGTAGCAATAATGTAGCAATAAGAAGAACCAAAGCAACTTCTTCTCCGGGAGAGAGTCTGACTAAAAATGAATCGCGTCTTGGAAATGGAAACTTAACCAAGAAAATGAAGAACAAGAAGCAGAAGGGTCGAGAATTCGTGTTTTTCTGTATGGAGAATAATTGGGAGGACAGGAAAAATGTCATCGCCTACACCAACAACATTATGCGGTTCAAGTAGGTATACTTGATTCTCATAAATACGGATGAGATTTAGCACGCGTTGCACCCCAATCGCACATACATATCTCTACACTTTTACTTCCGTTCACCATCAAAAAACGATAAATGTAACATTATCTTTTTTGATCTAGCGAGATATGTACATGACTTGGAGGATTTTTTTGGGGAAAATAACAGAGTAACAAATACACATTAAACTAAGCTGGATGTCACCACATGAGTAGGATAAGCGACAACTCGAGTTTGCCATCAACATCGTGACAAGTGCCAAAGGCCCCAGAAACAGAAGACGAGTAGAAAAACGGAAGGAAACCAAGCTCTGGGTGCCACGTACAACCATTTTGATACAGGAAGTGATGAGACAGACAGAAAACCCAAAATAAATTATTAGTAAGAGCTCGCACGATGAGTGTCAAATCCACAATACGTACTTAACCACTTAAGATGAATCACTGATCCATTTATTTTTTGCAAATGAGCTGTAATATGTTCCTATGCTCAATTCCTTATCATATTATTTTTCATGTGACGAAATTAAGAATTTGTTTCGCATAGTTGATAGTTAGATTCAAATTGACATTTTAGGCAATGCGGTTATGTCATACAATGAACTACCAGTAAAATATATAAGCAGGTATTTTCGTAAAAGAATCGTTGCTATCACGTGTGATTAGGAGAAAGTAAACGTAAAATTGACACTAATCGATATTATTAAAATTTTTGCTAGACCTTTATTATGTGATAAAGTGACGGCGTTTCTTATACGAATGTTTCACATATATCGATTATTTAATCCGCGTGGTCATGTTTATATCCCACTAACTTCATATCCACAACGAAACGGTACGAAAGACAATGAGAAATTGAACCATCTCATAAATATGCTATTCACTATGAAGTAGTATTTAATATTGTCTCCACTATCTCAAGTTTATGTGACTTTGTTCACAACAAAGTAATGCCCTCGGAAATAATTAAGCTAATAATAATAAAAATAATAATCAGACTTACTTAAATCATCCATTTCTCCGACCGGTATTGATTAGAAAGTTTCCACCTTCCCAGTGTTTAAAGGTTGTCCCTAAAAAGAATTGAATACATTTATACAATACATTTTGTAAATTTGTCAACACAAATATTGATCTCTTAACACCCTTCGTAAAATCCAAATTGGCAAAAAAAACTATAATATATTTTCACTCACAATAATGATCGTCCTTAAATTCCTCAGTGATGTCACCTCTTTTTTGATTCCCTTTCTCTCTTTTCTTCTGATCTCACTAGCGTCTAATTAGTCCACTAATCGCTAGAAACAAAATCTGTAAACTAAGCAGTCGTCAAACTATGCAGTGATTTCGTTAAAAGAACATTTGCGGTTTCCTGATTGTGGTAGGAATAAAATGCGTCACGGGGATGACTAATTGCCCTGTTAGTAACTAACCCTGATAAAGGTTTTACTGGAAATTGGGGCAAGAAAACAAGTGTTCAGCAGGAGATGAGCAGAGTGGCTAATCAGGTCAGGAGAAAGTTAGCAAATTTTCTTTCGTCGTGCCACTTTTACTCTGTCCGAGATTGATTGAGTTTTATTTACCAACAGAGCAAAGAGAGAGAAACTTGAAACTTGCCATCTTCCTCCGCCTTTCACTCTCTATGCTGACGTACAGTCCACTAGGGAGAGATTCCAATAGTTGCTGCTTCCCAATGTGCTGGGTCTGTGCATCCGGGGAAAGTTGAGTTGGTTTCAACTTACTTTCTCCAAGTGCAACTCAAGGACAAAGAGAAAAATATAGCATTTTCTGAGTGTTTTTTTTTCTGACATCGCAATGTATACAATTTATGAATATTATGCAGAGTAAGAATTCTAGACTATGCATCACATATATACTTTTAGAAGTTATATATTTCATTATTTTTTTTTAAACTTCAACAACGCAATATAAGAATCTACTCCTCTCCACGTCCCCAAAACTTTATCACGTCAGCAGATTAGAAAACAAATATCCCATAATAACATTTAGTTTCTCGCAAAAACTAACAAAGGTTTTTCATCTTTATCTTTCGTCATCATTTGCATTGGCCTGAACTTAATATCTGAGGCGATTATTATTATATCTTCTGAGTTCAAGCAATAGTAATAATAATAATAACAGTTAATATAATTATATAATAAACTCTGTTTAGGATCTGGACTGCTTCTTAAGTGCGGTGAACATCCTTCTAGATTGTATACGGATATCTTCGTCAGAATGACAATTCATCAAGGTTTTAGATTTGTCTATGATTTTCTCCAATACATTGACACCAAATATGGCGGCGTACCTGTGAAATTGTTAGATTATTATATTGGATTGACTACTAATTTAAAATATGAAAAATTTGAATTCATGTTTTGCATTGCATACATACATTGTGTCTGGAGATGCTGCTTTCTCCTCAGGGGGTAAATCCTGAGTTGGACTCAAGTCGTGGGTCGCAGCGGTGCTCGTCAGATTTGCGAGGAGTGTCAAGACTCGTAACAGCACTTCTTGCTCTTCATTATTATCCAACAGGTACAAGAGCCGCTTTGGTGCCTGCAAAATTAATGTGAAATGTGTAAAACGTATGGGGAGAAACTTAAACAAATACTAAGATAGATATTTCTGAGATGCTAAAAGTACATACCTGAGCAGCTAGAAGACTAGGAACCATTTCTTCGTTTGTTGAGAGATTCACAAGAAGCTTTAATGATTGAAGCCTGATTGGGAGAGATAACTGATCCAGCAGTGAGTACAATGTATGAAGTGCAGGACAAAATTCGGTGTGCCAATCTGGGAGAACGGCAATATTTGCCAGAGTGGTTAATACCGCTTCCACAATTTCCTCTCCTTGCTTACTGATGTCTCCAATATAGGACATCAAAGCTGGGATTATTGGCTAAGGTGATATACAAATAGGATAATGTTATAGACCATATTAACCAATAGTAATGATACCAAATAAGTTAATCAATTAGGTTTCTACCTTCATTTCTCGTTGATTCATTTCGTTTAGAGCCATATTACCTAATGCCCGGATCGCGGCTGGAATTAGATATTCGTAAATGCATTGTCAAGTTAGTTGTGCTTGTAAGTACCCTTAAATAGAAAACAAATGCAATGTTGCTTACCCAGCCGTATTTCACTCTTGGGATGACTAAGAAGATTTTGTAACCTTTGAAGACAGCCTGCTTCTCTTAAGTTGTTCTGGTTATGCGCCATTGTGGCCAAATTTGCTAAAGATATAAGAATATAACCATGTTAATACCATTTAAAATCAGCTAATAAATGAATAACGCCAAAATTTCAAAACTTGATTTCAAAATTCGACTAATTCATAGTGCTATACTATCCAGATATTATAGAAAAAAAAACAAATCCCAATCATTGCTCGACTGGTCGAAGATTTTACAAAATATACTGCATTTGGTAATTGTTTATAACGAATTAATGACCTTAATAAATAGTTAAAAAATTAATTTCTTGCATTCCACTCAAAAATGTGCAACAAATGCAATACGATAGTTTTTTCTATCAATGTTCTTAATTTTTAGTTTGTACAAATTTGCTACTAACCAGCACTGATCAATGCCCTTTCCAAAACCCCCTCGTCTGACGTATAAAGAAGTGCTACAAGTGTCTTAGCTTCATACGCATCCATAGTTCTATGTAAAAAAAACATATAGGTACATTAATTCTCATTGTTAGGTTTGTTCAGATACTATGTCAATAATTAATCAGTAGTTCATTATTTAAAAAATTATCTCAAACGTACCTTCCTTTTAAGCTAAGGGACTCTAGTTTCTCCTTCAGCTCTTCACTAATGTCTTGAATAGCCTTATCTGCCTCTCTCGTGCTCTCTTCTGCGCTAAACCCCACCTCCGGGCTCTTTCTTGCGATTGACTTACGCGACCATCTTCGTCGAACTGGAGATCCTTCAGCAGGAACAAGTGACAAATTATCTGACGAACGACTAGCAATAAAATGCCGAATGTCAACAGGGCTCAGGATCCGAGGCGAACTCCACGGTGAGCACTGTAATTAAGTAATTTTCATGTTCAATACAATGCACATGTGCAATTAGCAATAACTATACAAACCTGTAAACTTCTTGACGAATGACGACCGGCTCCTCCGTTTCCTTGTAAAGCGAGCATAGTATCAGCAAAATGTCTCGCTCTAAAGTTGAGTTCTCGAATTCTTTCTTGAACGGACAATGGCCGCAGGACGATCTTTCCTGAGTTGGAGACGTCCAAATTGCCCAACAATGCATCTGTCTGTGTTGTTTGTGACAAACGACGAAAGTATAACCTCGCCTCGCCCTCTGGATAGCTTACTATATGTATAAAAACAAACATCAATCAGTTACCCAGAGCCTGGACTAAATCTTAAGTTAACTAAAATTATTGACTCACAGTCGCCCTCCTTTCTCCGTCGATGGAACGCGGTACGGACAACGGAGTAGCCGACGTATGCAAACCCCGCAAAAATGGCAGAACAGAGTGCAACCTACGAGAAATTGAAGAGGTCAAAGTAATATAACCCAATGCTTTTAATTAAAACTGATCTCCAGTATACCAACCTTGTTCACCGTGCGGTCAGTCGTTGACGACCCTGCGTAGCCACTTGATGCCATTGTGAGCTCTGTAAGTTGATCTTTGATCTTCAAAACGTCCAACATCAATGAATGAATTATTCGGAGGTTGTTATTAATGCTCTCTTATAGATAACAACTCTCCACACAACTACTCGGACCGGACAAAGGAACTATACTACACACGGCTAGAAGAAGTGGTGCTAACAACAACTAGTGGGGGGAACAAGGTGGTGGGGACAACTACTTGAACATGACTGGTGTACATGACTTCCGGGAATTTAGCTTACTTTCGACGAGTCCTTTCACTTCAAGTCACCTTCTTCGCGACCTGCCACCTTCGGGTCCTTATTGCAACCCTATCCGAAAATGAGGTCGTCGCTTCGAAACTCTCAACACTAATAAATTTCCCCCCTCATCCACCCGCTACTTTCACTAAAGTTAGTTCGTATGAAATAATACTGATGATGCAACTCAGTTAACAAATTGGCAGCTAATTGAACACTTGGAAACTTAACGGAATTTATCAACACCTGCTGTTCTGTTCTTGACCTACAGTCGACCTACAATGGAATTTGAGTTAAATATACAAAATCAGTTGAACAAACTCCACCACCCTCACAAAAACTAAACCCCGGAACATGTAGCAGGAGTATAGTAATCTGTATAATTACATAACTAATTTAGTTCTCTGCGACCCCAAAAGAAGGTGAGAAGACAGGTTGGGTTTCGGTGACCGAAGGAGGAATCACTCCCTTCTTCGTATAGAATTCAAAGTGTCCTCTCTCTCCCGTGCTCTCGACTTTCTCCACCTTTCTTCTCCTCTCCACTTCCGGAAAACCCCGAAATTCGGTGGTGGATGGCGGATGGATCAATAGACGATGGTTTTTGGCAATCCCACTCCTTTACTATGCACCATCTTCATTTCTTCGTCTCTAAAGGAAAGTACAAAGTATGAGCGAGCATGACACATGACAACAGCAGCTGCTGTCTTACACTATTTTTGCTATAGAGCCACTTGTGTCACATTCACCCAGTTTGGAAAATTTGACTCAAAATAGTCATATTTTATTATTGAGTAAACTTTCTCCTTTGTGGGATTAAGTAGTTGATACATTAACCGAAATTGAGGCTTTTAAGAGACGACATAATAAAATGAGGATCACTTCGTGTCTGGATCTCTCCGAGAGCAGCGGGTCTATCGATCGGCTCGTCTTCTTCGTTTGGGTTCTGTTCTGGCGTCCCTCCTGTGTAAAGGAGGCATATCATTGTTCTGGTGGAAGTGAGGACGTTGATACGGTTTTTCTGTTAAATAAAGCACATGAAATTCGACTGATTTCATTATCGAGCAACAAGTTATCGGCTTCAGGTAAGTGTTTGTCGTAATTGAAATTTTATAGAACTTAACTGAAAGTGTGGGATTGTTGTATAACTACCTAATAATAAGTGGGCGTTATTATATATACGGTGCACATACTAATATTGCTGACCCCGTATTTTGTTTCATAGATTCAGCTTGACACCTGTTAAGAAGATGCCTCCAAGGAGGAAAAGTGCACGAGCGTTAGCGGCGGAAGCGTTGGCGAGACAAACGGCCCAGGCCAACGCTGCAGCGACGATGGAAGCGGCCAAACAAGCAGCCGCGAGATCCAATTCGCCACAACGTATTGCGGCGCCTAAGGCACCACCTCCAAAGAAACAACAGGGCGCAAAGGCTAAGACGCCCGCGCCAAGGAAATCGACCAGGGGAAGGGGACCACCTCCCCCATTTTTTGATCTCCCACCACCACCCACGCCCAGGATTCGCTATGTAAGAGCAGAATAATTAGTTCTTGGCGTTTTAAAGAAGAAATTTATGCATGAGTAAATATTTAAATTTATTATTTTAGGACGATGAGGAAGATGAAGGGGTGGTGTCTCACCTCCCTCCTCCGTCTACACCTCTACGTGAGGTCAGCGATGATGAGATTGAAGAGCAGCCATCAACGTCGAAAGGTGTCATGTTGCAACCTGTTGTCGCACCAGCCTCGAAACCTGTTAAGAAGGGCAAGGGTAAGAAAAAGAAACAATCTTCCTCAGAAGAAGATGAAAATAAGGAGAAGGAATCTGATAAGCAAGAAGGTGTTGATTTGGGTCCAATAGAAACTGTAAACTTGGAATCGTCTGATGGTAATTAATTAATTCAACATTAGTATCCGCATTAGTATAGTAGATTATCTAAATGGTCCAATTTTCGTAACAGAAGAGCATCAAGCAAAAGTTTTTGAACGGGTTCTGGCGAAATTGGGAGATCGATTTGGAGTTGTTGGAGGACCTCCCACCAAGAGAGCAACGCCACCACCTATTCTTCATCCAATGAGAATTGGGACCAAACTCATCACCGTTAAACCCGGAGTCACAATGGTCATTGATGACATGGTCCACAACATCGTGTACTACTTTATCATGAGTCAACACAAGAAAACTCCCGTGAAGAGATTAGATCTCCTGAAACATTGCATGAACGGACAAAAGAAGAACTACAACGAAGCACTTGCCCAAGGTGAAGCTGTTCTGAGCAAGGTATGCGGGATTAAAATCGTTGGATTGGACCAAGGAAAGCAGGGCTTCATTACATACATGGCAATTAGCAATTATTTGAGTGATGTTGCAGAATTGGTCACCGTCAGGTCTGCAGATCAATATGCGAAGCGAGCAGCCCTCTTTCTGACTCTGGTCATCATGTTTATGACCAACAAACCACTTTCCGAAGGTAAACAATTTAAATTATAATTTATTTAATGTATTATGGTTTTGCTGTGTAACTGTGTGTATTTAATTATGATGCTGACAATATTGTCCAGAGTGATTTAACAATAATTCACCATGATGAATTTAAGCCAAATCCTATCTCATTAATTTAAGTCTGATTCCAATGATTAAAAAGACTTGCAAGATTCTAACTAAATAAATACTTAATTTATTAACCTGATTTGTGGTTACGTAAAATTTTCAGATGAGGTCTGGAGTCTCATTTGTGAGTTTGAATTGGAAACATTGATGTGCACCAAGCGAGAGGACTTTCATAAATTTATGAAAACGGTAATATATCTTTATTTTTATATTAAATACCAAAGGTTATAATTTCAGTTTAAAATTTACTAAAAGTGTCCATTTTTTAGGAATATGTCCAGACACTGTATTTCACTTCCGAAGAGATCATGGATGATGCTGACGGCGTTGGATATAGATATTCCTGGGGACCACGGGCACATCATGAAATCAGCAAATGGGCTATCCTGAAATTTGTTGCAAAAGTAGCTTATTTTTCACTTAACTCCAGTTTAATCAACTTGAATTGAGTTAACTGCTTATTTTTAACAGCTTGACATTTGTTTTAGCAATTTGCAGGTGCAAGACCCGAAGACTATGAGCTCCAACTGCAGATAGCTAAAATAGATGAGCGGGAGGTGATTGAAGCTGATATAGCAGCATATCAAGCGGAATTGGCACTAGCACAGGCCGCACAAGCAGCGCAAGATGCACAAGCCGATCCTGCAGATGGTCAGGACGAAATTCCAGAAAGATCTAGAACAGTTGTACGATTTGCTATTGGTATTAAACTCATCATATCTATCATCTTATCATATTGCTGGGCTATAATAAATGCTGTCCTTTTTAACGGTTTATAGAGGAGGAAAGACCAGACAGTGGCAACTTGTCACAAGTGGAGGAAATTGAAACTGAGCAAGGGTCATCTGACTCTGGCGAGGATGGAGAAGAAAGGACAAAGCAGGGTAATGAAAGTGTGAACAAGGAAGGAGAACAAGCTGAAAGCGAAGCTGAATCTGGGAGTGATGAGGCAGACGGGGAAAGCGGAGTGGAAAGTGAGGGGACGAAGGACGAGGAAGAAGCAGAGAGTGGCGAGGGGGAAGAGGAATCTGGAAGTGGTGAAGAAGCAGACGGAAGCGCTGAAGAGGAAGAAGAGGGAAGCTCTGAAAGCGAGAAAGAGGAGAAGGGCGAGAGTGGAAGTGGCGAGGGGGAGGAGGAGGGCAGTGATGAAGGAGATGGATCAGGGTCAGGTGACCAAGGGGGGACAGATGATTCTAATGAGGACACTGGAGAGGATTCAAGTGGAGAAGCTTCCTGATTGTTAAAGAACAGGTTGGTTATCTAAATACTGCTGTATATGATTTACGGAAATTTTCTGTGCAATAATATTTAAAATGTTTTTTTATAATGGTTTTGTTTTCAGTTGCGTTCCTCCCCCTACTCCAATGCCCGGTAACGATGGTAATGAACTTGATCTCGACAATTGCCCAGATTTGTCTAATTTTTTTGACCAATTTGACGACCAACCTGAAAATGATGTACATTTAAACTTTCCAGCCCCCACTCCAATGCCACAGCTCAGCGATGACTAGCTTGTCTTGTGCATAAGCATCCATCGCATCCTTTCCATCATCTCTCAAACTTTGTTACAAATAATCAGATTCTATGCTCTTACGCTTCACCAAAGTACAAATTGCGTGACCCATGTATGCAATGCACTTTGTACTGCATACCACTTATTTTTTTTATTTTATCACCCACCACTTCTTCACAACTAGCTACCAAATCATCATCATACCTATTATTTATAAATAACCTAGAAAAGAGACTACCAACATTTTCTTCTTACAATTAAATACTGGTCATAACCAAACAATTTGCTGACTTGGTGGAAACGGAGAGCTGCATTATTAAACCCATAACGAATTATATTTTTCCAAATGATATCAACGACGTTGAACTCATTTTTCTAAGTCCACAATTCCAGAGAATATATGAAACTTGAGCTTTTTTTACTGTGCTACCGTCGGATAACAAATTTTTATCGAATTCTTTCATCATTATTAGAAAGAGAATGGAATTTTGTTATGATGCATACCAATTTATTATTCATTGTGGAAATGAAAACCTCTTGTGTTAGTCAGTCAGTCTATAAAACTATTTCGTTATTTTTGTGTGCGTGTACTTTATGACAACGCTTTTGTTTCAGTTCATTTGAATATGCATACAAACATCTATAACATAACATACACATCAATTTGTGTATGTTATTTAATCATATTTATGTATTACTCACCCATACATTCTGTAAACTGAGGCTGAGTAATGTGTAGCAATCTTGTAGAGGTACAACAGGATGAGACGTTTTTCGAAGCTTGAACTTTTATGTTGTGCGTACTTTAATTGTGTCTCATTTTTCTGCATTTGCATTTTACCTTCATTTTGTACATACTTTAACAGTATTATAATTATGTGTTTAGGATTATGCATGGTATAAATACATTGTCGTCCCGGTGTCATGTGTGTGATACATAAAGTGGTCAACTTTTAGTCCTATTCTCTGTCTGTACCTAAAGTAAACGAAAGATCTGAAAAGTAGTATCAAGTAATCTGTAGATTTGTGTGTCAAACCAAGGGAATCATAATCATAAAACGTGATTTACGGATCCAATATATCATATTCACTTCAATTTGAAGTTTTGAAATGTGACCATATAGTTCTCCATCTAGTTCCCACCGAATTAATGTTGTACGCTTTGTAGATGTTTAGATATTGGCATTTATAAATGTTGTGATAACAAAAATTAATGTGTGCGTATTTATATGCATCCACATACCTACATGTCTCTTTTCTCTATGTCATAAAAGGAATTTAGGTCTCAGCATTGTTATTAAATTATTCTCAGTACTGTGGTCAGTACAGTAGTCAGCTAGTAGAATATATATGTATACATACATATGCTTAACTTATTGTTTTTAATTTCATCAAGTATTGTCTCCTTATAATGGTATCCCTTATGTCTCATTCATTAAAAAAATTCAATTGTTGTTTCACAGTTCCTCAACGAACTCTAATTAACAAATGATTGGCTGTTCTCAATCTATTTAAATGTTTTGAAATTTCTCGGTGTGTAAAATAAATCGATTAATAGTTCAATCTCACAAAATGCGTGCTACCCATGAACTAATATTTCCTTCATTGAACTCTCTCTCAGGATCAGACATTTGCATCCATATCATTATTGAAGTAATGCATAAAAGGCATATTTAATAATTATGATGATTCCTTTCCTGAACTCATCGACCTATATTCGCTATGGTCATCTCATGTATTTAATACTACAAAATGTGATCAAGTTCCTCATCATCATCATCATTTCTCTTTGTTTGTGGATTTGATTGAATTCATGGAACACTGTTCAACCAAATATTTAGCTGGCTGCTGGCTAGCTTTGCTGTTAGCGTGACGGAAAAAAGTAAACTCGGTCATAATCGAATGTATATGCATCGGTTGCACGGGGTTTCAAATTTCAATGAAATATTTTCAAATACCCATCATTCATCATTATTTTATAATCATTTGATGTGAAAATTGACGCCACAAATAAAATATTAATTGCCGAACTACGAACAAGGCAAGAATTAACAGACGGAATATTCGTGTTACTTAACACTGAGCATATTTTCATTGTCCATTCTCATATTTACTTCCAACTAACTAAAACACCATAATATTTAGCCGACTGTATATGGAGTTGTCCGTTCGTCTTTTATTATGCTGCATATTATGGTCTTCTGCGTGGGTACATATGTATTTATGTGCCTACTTGGTTTTTAACTGATTTTTATTTGTGATACGCAAATCACGTATCGTTATTTAATGCAGTCCATCATCATGATAATCACACGATAAACAACAATTTTATACATACATAGATATTAACAAATTTGTGTATGTGGGGTTATCGATCTTTTTTAATTTACTAATAATTCTCTCTACTGCGACGATGATGAAGTGTTGAGTTTAAATTGCTGAAAAAAACGGTGTGATGCAGATCATTGACTGATAAGGAAAAAACTATTGAATGGAGCACCAAGTTGATTTTAGTGACTAAAGGATGCTTAGCTTTAATATTTTGTTTAATTTACATTAAACAGTATAAGTTCATCAGACAGTGTCGTCGTCACCTTTATGCAAATTATCGTCAGTCTGCATGCATGTATGAGGGCACACAATCCATAATCCATTGTCTGTTCAAGTAGTGAGATAGATAAGTCGTAGCTTTAAACTTTAAAGTTTGCCTGAACGCAATAATAATGATGCCTAATAAATATGTACATATATTCACATTGTTATTTTCCGTAAGGCAGGTTGATGAGCTCGGTATTTTTGCACTTTAAAGAGCAATCTATAATTGTGCAGATACATAAATATCTACGTCTGGAACCAAGTTTTTTTTTAAAGGAACGATATCATGCATAGAAATAATTTCCGAGAAGTTGTCGAAAATGCAGTAAATATGTAAATATGTGTCAAGAGAGTGCTTGCAGATTATTTTTTGCATAAGGATATAATAATAATAACAACATTCATGCGAGAGAGAGAGGGACAGACGTCACTTATTATTTGTAACTTGACACGTAATTTTATGAAGGTTCTTCACTGGAATTTGATTTCAAAACCCAATGAAATAGGGCTTTGCAATTGAAATTGAAAACAAGTCCACAAAATGTGATGATTGCGTGATGTGATGGTTATCATGACAAGAAGAGTAATAAATGGTCGTAGTGATGACTGGGATGACCTACGAAACCAATCCATAATGTGTCTCAAAGATCTATTTTTTCTCACCATGAAGTTTGTTGAGCTATATATGTATGTACATACGTATAATACGTATTTATACACATACATATGTCCACATGTTAAAATATGTAAGTATATTATGCCACACAGAGTCTCATCTCTCCGCGGATTATACTATTATTACACATGCGGATTGCACTCATTACTTTGCGCATCAAATTAATTTGCAACTCTGGGATCATATTCAGTTCTATAATTTCACTGTCCATTCTTCCTCCGTGGATGATGATGTACAGGTCGTCGAGGTTTTCCAGCGATATTTAATTTCATGGAAATCAGTCAAAGGAGTGATATTTGGCTTTGACATAATGGCATACCATACACTTTCATTTATCAACCTTTACTTACTTTACTCGGTCTCTCCATGCATGCAAATAAATTGTCTGAATCTGAGCACCATAAAAGAATTGATACTCTACTCTCTCCTACACACGCGAATTGAGACGCATGTTAAGCTAATAAAAGCTAAGCTAGCTGAGAATATAATATGAGCAGAGGCACATATTTTATATAAATTATCACAAATTTTTTAGCATGTGACTCACATCAACATCAAGGGTCATAATCATAGCAGTGAATAATATACATATCCGAATGTAAAGTATGCATGCATGCATGTGTAATTTTAGCTTACATTCGTACGTACGTATAGGTCTGCTGCCGGCAAACAAATTATAACAACAAGTGTAATGAATCACTTATTACAATTGGTTTATGTACAACAAACAAGAGCAGCAGCACACATGCAGTTCCTGTTTTATTCGTTCTGATTGATACAAACAAAACTAACTTGGCACCATTCGACATGACTCCAACAATCGAACATTTTAAATGTCTGACATTCATTGTAATTTGAGACACATTTTTGTGGAACACGCATTTCGAACCAGAGATGAGCATGGATGAGTTGAGCTGTTACACACAGGTTAGGCTAATGATGGAGCAGTGTTGGGAAAATACATAAGTGTATTAAATAAGTGTTCTAAATTGACTTTACATTACATATGCTCTTAAGGAGAATTTGAATCCCTGTCTACCGGTGGCTCGTCCTCTTTGTATTTTTGTACATACGTAGTTGGTTGGTCGTTATGTATTTGTCTGTCTTCAATCGGACCATTGATAAGGAAATTAAATTAAATTAGAAAAATCAACTAGACTCTGGACGGACAGAGCATAAACTTCCGCTGTGCTGCTGCTGCAGTGATGATCACACTGCAACCACACCAAGGTCGCCGTTCCTTAAGGCTCCCGCTTATCTTATTCAATTATCATATCCTGTACGTACATGATGCATCCAATTCGTATCTCGAAAGACAAAACGAGCAGAGAGTGGAAATTCTCCGAAAAATATGGATGAGACGACGAGTCGATCTTCTTTCTCTCGCTCACTCTGCCTGCACAACAAAAAGAGTAATCTCGCATCCGAAATAACAAAACGGACGAACAAACCAACTCGAAAATGAAGGAAACGACAGAGAGAGAGATGCTGATTTGTATGAATAATGTGCATGTTATTGGTCCACCACTCTGACTGCACTGTGGTCGTCTCTGTGCTCAATCATGAATTGACATCGGCATTTCTGAAATTTCAAGCTTGGAATGACGGTTGTTCGAGTTGGTTTTTTGAATATCAAATTTAAATAGCCAAAGAAAGGTAAGGCGTCCGAAATGGTAACACAACACGTTCGATGCGCTCAATTTCACCCGTTCGATAGTATTCTCTGGCATTCTGGCTGGATTTCATAAGAGAGCAATTATTGAATGGAAAACTTATGTGTGGATGCAGTAGTGGTTGGTGGATCGGTGTGTGTGTGTAATAGTATGGCTACACACCGACTCGAGTGTTGGGTCACATTAAACTTGGTTAATGGTTAACTTCAACTACACTTAAGAGTAACATCATGATGATGAATATGGAATATGAGGGGTACAACACTACACGTTGCTTATACTTCTCATCTGAATCATTTCATATTACTTTGTATGAATTACTGGTGTTGATGCGAACTTGTCCCATGTTTCTAAAAAATGTGCAGCTGGGGTCTGACACGCTGGACATAGACCAACAGGCCACCACCGAAGCAGTCGCTATTGCTGCTGCGGAGGATTCTAGTGTGTCCAACTAAAGATCGGGTGTCAGCGATCCACCAAGTTATTCTTTCTCCAAAACAGTGCATCACACAACAACCACCAGCTCAAACACGAGTCCGACTCCGACAAACACGGTGCGGTTCAACCGGATAGGAGACAAGGAGTGATTGTCTCAAGTGCGGAGTGAGAAGATCACAAAACGTTCACCAGTTGACGAGAACAACGACGACGATGACACTCACATATGACGAAGAAAGTTTGCAAAGTTTCTTTTTTCTTCCGGGGACGGATGACATTTTCATGACGGAAAATGCTCATCACTCCGTTACTCACAATGCCCCCAGTGATACGCAACAGTGCAGCAGCAACAGTAGCAGCAACGGGAGTGTGCCGGAGTTGGAGAGCTTCGACCCCACGTTGCTGTCCTTCTTCCCCAACAGTACCGCCGTGGATGGCAGCTATCAAGGTAAGCCGAGGATAAAAATTTGACTACTTTTTTTAATTGCTGGATTTTCATTGCTCCTAAATATGTACGTACGAGGAGTGTGTTCCATGCAACAAAAGTTTTAAATTTGGGTCACTTCCGCAGAACCACTGTATTGTGGACCAATCTTGGACCATGACATGAATACAGCCAAAGAAATCCTTCCCCTGCACTCACACCACGACAACCTTCATGAAAATCTCATTAGTGCCTCGATGGAGCACATCTATTCTCAGGTTTGTTACAAATGCATGAGGTTCAATTAAGTTCAAGTACTTGGATCGTTAAAAATATTAATTATTAATTAAAGTTCATTTGACTAATTTGTAGATGGATGAGATATCACCTTCCTCATCGTGTGGCTCCTCACCCACGACATCGTTGTCCATCTCTCTTGATGAGTACTCTCCTGCATCTCATTGTCCTGACTTGGAGGGAATCAACGACCCATGGGATACCATGTTCAATCTCAGCGTTGAAGCATTTTCACCGTCAGAATTCAACTCGCTTGTGGACCCACTTTCTAGCATCACATCCTCATCTCTGCTGCCACAGACCACGATGTTGTTCAAAGAGGAGCCCTTTTCCCCCTTCCATGGAATATCTGCCGTCCCCCCTTTTCTGGAAGATCAGAAGATGGACTTGACCCCTCCAGCCAGTATTAAATCAGAAAGTGTGTCACAACCACCAAGCATCCCCACTCTGAAACGTGGCGGTGGAAGACCGCGTGGGAGAAAACCAGGCAGCGTCAATTCCAAGCCACGCCAATACAGGAAGCGATCCACGGTAGAAGGTGGACGGCCAGGACGACGACCAAATGCCAGTAAAACCCCTTACGGAGAAGGTTTCGAGCTCCGATGTCCGTATGATAACTGTGGAAAAGTGTACTTTAAGTCTTCTCATTTGAAAGCTCACGTTCGGCGACATACGGGCGAGAAACCGTTCGTCTGTCCATGGGATCAATGTCCATGGAGGTTTTCGCGTTCCGATGAGTTGGGTCGTCACTACCGGTCCCACACGGGTGACAAGCCATACCAGTGCGCCATATGTCACAAACGCTTTGCACGAAGTGACCACTTGTCCAAGCACAGGAGGGTGCATGAACGGTCCAAGGACACGTGTGACCTCATGCTTCCTCATCTCGCTTTTTGCGGAGACGTTGGGCAGCCGTTGTGCCGACCTCCGAAAAGGGGTCGTCCCAAGAATTCTTATGTACAATAAACAGTGGTACAAACGAGGGGAAGATAAAGTAAAACTAGACCTGCTAATGAGATGAAGGTCACCTTGTATATGTTTGTGTATAGAATGAACGTGGCATTTTTATGTGTTTATACTGTATTTAATTAATTATGACCTTCAAAAATCGAAAATAAAAACTTTGGGCTCAAACCAAAATGACCCCATAAGGACTTGTCCTTCGGGTTCCAAAACACCCACAAAACAATTTATGCTGAGTTTTTTCTTCAAATAAATGCGCATAATGTAAGTTTACTATATGCATATAAATGTACCTGGCATACAGTTGTACCGAATTGTTGAAATTCAATCAAGTAACTGGAAATTTTTTCTCTTAATGCATGTTTGGCCATGGATATTCATGTTCAAAGTCATAAGAAATTGACAAAATTGGAAAAATCTATGATGGCACATACAACTTAATGTCTTCAAATCATGTTCATAATATATTTAAGTAGTATGGTTACATAGGCCAGAATATTGACAATCTGCACGTCAATCTCCACTGTTTATATGCATACGTCTTTTTGGTCTACTAACAGCATTTGACAAATCAAAGTAATTTTGCAATAATGAAAGCATTGAGTTTTGACTGGACATTTGGACACAATACTTTTATTATTTGAGTAGAGCAACTGCATTCCGTGACTTTTTTCTATCCAGTTGGTCACGAAGCCCTATCCACCTCACTTCCTTCCGGTCATAGACAAACGGGATTCCTACGACGACCCTCATCCCTCACCATCGGTTGGCCTTGTATCTCCTTCACTGCCATCACACGGTATTATCATCTCGATAAATGGTCCCAATATGTTAGACGACTGAGACTTTCAAATTAAGTCTTGTTTTCGTGCTTGTTTCCAACTGTGTTTTCATCCTTTCTTTGAATTTCTTGGTGGATGGAATTTCTGAATTTTTCCCTCAACTCCTCAGTTTTATATTTATTATGTCGGGTACATTTTAAAGTTGAAATGTGGTCACAAACAACACTACCAGAACTTAAACATGACTAACAGACTTCAATATTTGTACCTGAGTGTTGTGATTTTTACGAATGTGGTTCAATTTTCCATTTGTGAAACTCGAGTACAAGTAAATTCACGGATACCGGAAGATTTGTTTCTGCAACCCTTAGCATCAAGGGGTAAATATTTTGACGCAGATCTTAAAAATGCTCATTTTCTATCAATTTTCTTTTCAGTTTCATGTAATTAATTAGTCAATTTCGTAGCAAATTCCCCAAATAATGGACGTGGTTCTCGTCCATCATCATCCTCAACGTTGCTTGAGCCCATCATAATTCATCACACGAAGGGGGGCAAGGACAAGGTTGATGACGACTCGTCCAATGAGTTGTGTCAGGGGGCGTGCATTTCGTCCAAATTGTGTGAACATCATGGTGGACAACTGAAAGGAAGTTGTGCCAAAGGAACAACTTGTTGTCAATGTAGGAGAAATAAACATACTTACCAAACTTAGTTTTGTTTGTAAACTAATGTATATTTTGAAAATAGTTGAACGGACATGTGGGGAAATTTCAAGGGAGAAAGTATCATTTTTCCAGTCTCCGAATTACCCAGTTTTAATAAATGATAGTTTGGACTGCACCTACCAAGTTTATCCAGATGAAGATACTTGTGCATTAAGGTGGGGTTTAAATACATTAGAATTGTGTACCATTTAATTCTTTAATGCATACTTATCCAACTTTGAACTTTGCTTAATTAATTTAGGGTAGAGTTCTTGTCTTTTAAAATTCATCGAGCTGTACACTACAGCAAGACAGAAAAATGCATATCCGACGCCTTGTTTTTGTTAAACACTGATCAAGGAGCTAACGAACCTTTATGCGACATGGAAAACCATACTGGTTCGTAAACGCAATTCTATGTCTTGATTATCAATTTGTAACACCCAATAAGACTCAAACTTTTAAATTACAGCAATTATTTATGTGAAGAAAGACGCCATAAAACCGACCAAATTTATTCTGATATCGCAGTCTGCAGAAGTCAAGTGGAATCTAAAAATTACCCAGATTAATTGTAAAAAGATTTCAGGCTGGCAAAGTACGCAAAATAAAAAATAGCATAATGCAATTTAAAATTTAGATTAATATCCAAATTTTAATATGTAACTTGACACGACAGATGAACCGAAATGTGGCCGGCAACTCATGTACGATTCCGAATCAGAGAACGACAACGGCAACAACGTCGATGACGACACGGACGATTCCGTATCCAAAGAATTTTCCAATGAAAGCCGAAGAGAAAGTTTACAACTGCAACCGCTCATCGTAAACGGGAAGGACGCCGAGAAGCGAGAATTTCCTTGGCAGATAAGCCTCCAGCTAAAAGGAAAAAGCACTCATCGATGTGGGGGCTCGATTTTAAACAATCGATTCATTGTCACGGCTGCTCACTGCGTCATGAGAAATGCATTCGAGTTCAGAAACAAGATGAAAGTCGTCGTGGGAGATTACATGCTCAATGCAACGGGTGAAGTGGAACACCAAGAGTTCGAGATTGAAAGCATCATTGGACACTTTCACTACAAACCGCACCACTCCCATGTCAACGATATCGCCATATTAAAAGTGGCTGGGACGATTAACTACTCCTCCAACATTCAACCCGTGTGCTTACCACCCGCAAATTACTCCACGGACGGAAAGCTTGGCTGGGTTTCGGGATGGGGGCGACTGAATGGTTCCGATCCCAAGGCGACTGCATCCACTTTACAAAAATTGCAAGTGTCCATCATTGATGACGAAAAGTGTCGAGCTCTTGTTCAACAGGAAGTTCAAAAAATTCTTAAGCGGAATGTAACCGTGACTGAAATGGAGATAATGGCAACGCTTGGACGCAGCAAGACGCAACTTTGTGCTCAGCCAAAACTGAACTCTGCAGTTTGTTTTGTGAGTTTCTTTTTTTAATTAAGTTTATTTTATGATTGATTTTGTGACTAAATTTTAAATGTTTTTTTTTGCAGGGCGATTCGGGTGGTAAGTGATGATATTTAATAAAATTGTACAAATGGTGTTGTATTTTAGCTTATTAATGACTGGTTATAGGGCCCTTGGTTGTTCAAATGGAGGAGGATGGGCGCTACATGCAGGTGGGAGTGGTGAGCTATGGACTCGGAAAATGTGTCACCGAGCGCAATCCCCCCGCAGCTTACACCAGGATTACGGAATTTCTCGACTTTATCGCAATTGCTACAGCCGATACCTGACTGATACGCTTTTCGTGCAATGTCCTTCAAAAAATGACTAAATTTAAATTTTGAAATTAAAAATTTGATTTGAGCTATGTAAAAATTCTCATCAACGGTAATAATACAACATTGCATTTACATACGTACTTTCACTTTACACATGTGCTCTGTATCAAGACGGATGTTAAGCCATGTTGCTCCATGATTCCGTACAAAAAATGGGAATTTAAGACAGTTCCATTATCACAGAAAGGTTATTCCTCAAAAATGTGAACGTGACGCTGCCCACGAGGAAAATTTTCCTAAATTACGATGCAAACAAAGTCAGTAAACGAAACCAGTGATTTTACCGTGCAAGCAACATAAAAAGAGTGGAAACCTGTTGTGTTGCACTCCGCTGAAGAAGAGCAACAAGACTTCGACAACACCAATTTTTGACGCAATTGGCCTCGTGATCTGTCTACGCTTTTTTGTTGCATGAAAGATTCTTCCTCCAATCTATTATTTACAAATAATCGAAAAACAACAACAACAAGTCCTACTAAAACACTTCTCCATCCAGTTATGAATATTTTCAAGTTGTCATGTACGCTTTTTCAGAGTTCCTACTCCGACCTAAAAGTTCATCTTATGTACTTGCCCCGATTTCCACTATGTATGTCCGAGAGTGCTTGTTGGCTAACTTTACTGCTTGCAATTTACATTCATTGCTCTGCATGTACTCGCATAAGAAAAAGGGTGACATCCGAGTATCATCATGAGCATATGTACGTATAGCAGCTCCATTTAGCCAACACCCTCAAACTTGTAGCTTAGTGGAGATGCAATTGGCGAATGAATGCGAATATGGTTTTAGGGACGAACATGAATTAAATTCGATTACTCATGTCGATTTTATTATACTTGTCAAAACCCTGTTTACAAATTCTTTATAAACTGCAGCTCGTAACAAAGGTCGCCTTGTTTTGCATATTAATGTTTGAAACAAGGCTGTGCTAGCCTTGCATTGTGCACACAATGCTCAATTCCAATATTTGTGATCAAATTTGTTACAAAATGTCGATTCAGCCCTAATTGTTCTTATTGATGTCGCATACTCTGGTCTGGTACAAATACAGACTCCATGAACGAACATAAGAATGAACTTGGATTTGGACTTTGGACTCTGGTGTGTGGAGGGTAAACAGCATGCACGTAAATGAGAGAGTTGTCGTCTTCTCTGGTATATTCGCACACAAAAGTCCTTTTTAACATCATTCAACATTGAGACTCAGGGGGGCCGACATCCTCGCAATCTCTGGTAACATTGTATGCATAACGAGAAATAAGACACCTATTTTTCTGGCCACTATTTCGACTCACTTAAAACCAATTGCCCATGCAACATAACAGTTTTGGTCCTAATTAAGGAAATACGATAACAATAATATTCTTATTTCTACCCAAAAAGTTGCATTCGTTGTTCGTGTGCAGCAGAGTGACTCGGAGTGAGGAGACTATTCGATATACGAGACCCTTTTTCGTTGGTTGGAAGAATTGGAGGAAGAAGCACATGTAAAACATTCTGAAAAAGAAAGACTGCTGGATTTACATTACAGCTCAAATATCGCGTATTAAAATAAATTCGTTCTCGAGCTCATCAATTTAAACCCGAAACGATAAACCACCAAAGTAGTGGGAATTCAGAAGAATTGTGTGAAGAAGAAAAATAGTTTTCTCTCTTAACTAATTAATTGTTAATAAGTAGACATAAAAAGTTGCTAACGTAAAAGTGAACGTATAGCACAAACTTTTGCACTGCCGGTTATTATTCGTCTGGACGAATTTAAGGAAGGAGGTCAAAGACAAGTTCTCTCTTTTTGGTGGAAACAGGTAATTTGCAATTGAATGACAGTATTTTTAATTTAGTTAATATTTTAGCTGCTATGTTAAAAGAGGTGTTTGGTTTGGCACATTTCTATAAATGTTACATTTCATGATGAAACTCATCTAAAATAGATAAATTGCATGACAAAATCATCAAAGTGCACAAGCACAATGAAAAAAATGCAATTAAAACTTCTAAAGTCCCGTTTTCTTAATAAGTAGATTTATGCTGGAGGTTTGATCTATCGCCTGTCATCAAAGATAAATATGATTATCTGGACTCAGACATCTCGAGCCAACACCTTTATATTACTGAATGTTTACCCTTTCCAGCTTATCTTCACATAATCACCAACACACTGCAATAAACCTGACCAGAATTTATTAGTCGGTCGATGAGAACCCATGACAAGGACAATTCATTAAATAATAATATTGTGTCTGTCCGTCTCCTCTTTATCCTCTTATCCATCATCCTGATAATACTGAATATTCATTCAGGGGTAGAATATACTAAAAATAAGTTGCACCAATTAAGCGGTTTATGACCAGTAACCCCATTACTTATCACCAACTTTTGATTATTCTTCATTCACCATTAATCCATTCAGATTTGGTTTGATATGCATAGACACACCACTTGCTATCTCCCTCAGTTATGTTATAACTCGTGATTAATGATAAGTCTCGTATACGCACAACAAAAATGCAAAACTTGGACTATGACTGGTAGTAAAACATTGCGGAATTATTATAAGTATATTTATTATTGGCTCACTCCTCGGTTTGTCATTCTTACATGTGTCAAGCAAGATCAGTACTGACTGGTTTGGCAGAAATCAATTACATACATACATAAACATCTGAGAAGTAGTTCTACCACCGTCTCGTACATTGCCATCAAGTTAGTTATCATGGTATGAGGACTCTAGTTCTTTGAACGATGAACCTCAACCGTCGGCTTAACTTTTCTCAGACTTTGAACCCATTCTTCTCATAATTTGTGTCGTTGGTTGAACGTAAGTTGTTGGTTTTCGTGCGACGACTCGGCTCAGCGTCAACAAGCAGGTAGTTGACGAAGCAATTATACATATGTAATTCTGTGTGCATTCATTTTGCAACTATTGCACATGACTTCGTACTCTGTGTACTATTTATAAGCATTCATTAATCATCAACATCCATGAAAATTATAACCACAGTTTTATTTTCTGCAATTTTTTTGGTCCTGGATAATTTCTTATTTTTATGACACAAAGTTGACATTTAAAATAATCGTAACTTTTAGAATGTCCGCTTCCAAAAATGCATAAAATTTTCATGGACCCGACACGCAATTAAACCCTTTATTTAATGTGCAACAGAAAGTGCTGCATTGTAAATTCTATAAACATTGTTGAGATCATAAATTGTTGCAAGTACTCGAATCGAATTATTAATAATCTGAATACTCTTATTTACTGCTGTAAGATTCTAAGCCAAGTTTTATAACCTGTATTGGCCATAAGTATGTACATGCACAATGAATATGACCAAATGCACATGCGGTGAGTTAAGTGCTATGACGAGATACAGGTAGAACGCATGATGACCCACATATTACCAACCAACTGTACCCTCTTGTCATACAAAAAAAGGGTTGTTTGTGTACGTGATCACCTTATTTATAATAACTCTGATGAAATAGGACAAGGTTTCAGCATCCTAGAAATTCTAGCATAACTGTCCGGGTGGAGAGAGGCACACAAAGGCAGGGTCCAAGGGTCAAGCGTTTGTGAAATTTAAATCGAGTCATAAATAGACTATTACTTGCAACAGTGTGAGTAGTTTTTCTCCCCAGGAAACTATAATAATAAGCATCATAAAATTATAGCTTAATTGAACTGAATTGCATTATCATTTGATTTTTCTTCCAGATAAAACATGGCTGAAGCACACGCAGCCGTTGCATTCTCACTCTCCGTTAGTCATGAGGGATTCAACGTCAACTTTGACAGAGAGGTGTTGAACCTCATTTGGTTGTCTGGAAAACGGTCCTGGAGGAAAAGGGGTCAACGGATTTATGTAAGACATTAAAGACATTAAATGATAATCTTATGGATGCATTAAAATATCTATGAATGAAACCAAGTTCATGAATTTTGACTCATTTCATGGAATTTTTATAACGAATTACCAAAGTTATGAATTTTAATAACTATTAAGTTATTATTTCGTCTCAAGCCAGTTATCTCTAGATTAATTTTTTATGACCCAGTCAAAATAAATGAAATGCCTGTTAATTACAAAGTGTGGTGGTAGGTAATTAAATATATTCGTTATGCCATTTTAATTTAGCCACTAATATTACTGACTGACAACCAAGAATTGCCTCACGCGAGCGAGATGACTAAAAAAAATAAAATGCAAAACTAAAACCCATCACGACTCCACGCTGAAAGTACAAGTAATCCGAAATGGTAGATGGTTTTTCTGTTGTGTGTGTTGTAGAGAATTGACGTCAGGGACAAAGTCCAATTTATTTACACACAACAAAACGCAACTATTAGATTGGCATAACATTATGTAACCACTGCAGATTTATTTATGGGCATATGCTCGGAGGAAGCTAAGGTATACACATAGATTTATTTACCCTGCACTGGTTTAACTGAATGCACCAACCATGATAAGCGTGCGGCGGATGCCAACTACAATGCTCTAGTTTATGACCATAGAACTTTTTAAAATTATTGTGTCTGCATTTACTATCAAAAGTTCGTATGCATGTTTCCTCTGCTAAACCTTCCCTATAATAATTCGCGATATAAACATATGCATAAGTAGTTTCATGTATGTTTTACACTGGACAATGTTTAAATAAAGTTATTCCATTGGCTAATTTTGGTTGAGTTGAGCATTGTGCATATGAGTAATGTATGGGTATTAATGAGTATTGCTGTATATTTAGAAATGTTTGGATGACTTGATTTCATGAAAACCTTCAAGAATATGAGTAACTAATGTTGCATTTTATAACGTTTTGCAGAATAACATAAGATGCGGAATATATCCGGGTTCCCTGAAGGGCATGACAGTTTCAGTTGCAACCTTGAGCTCTGCCTACTATGCAGGATACGACCCTTCGTGTGGACTTATCCCACTGGTTCAAAAGTTTATGCCAGCGTATGAACCAATACTGTTAAATATGCAATAATGTAATTTCATTTAAATAGAATTTTACCTAAGAAAATTTTCAATTTTTATTTTAGTGGCGATGTTGGGAAAGGGCTAAGTTGCGCAGTTGTGGGGGTGGGAATATGGGGTGGAACTATATTCACAGCAAGAACCTTACTTAGATTGTTGTTCAATTATAAGGGTAATAAGAAGATAAGATTTTCTGAATTTTGTATGAGAAATTCATCGTTAATGGCATCATGTCCTTAATTGATAAAATTATTTTTAGGTTGGATGTATGAGGAGCGTGGAAAAGGTAGAAGCGTTTCTTTAGCCACGAAAATGTGGTTGGCCGCTGTTAAAATCTTATCGGGTTGGAATCATCCCATGCTGTACAGTTTTCAAGGATCACTGCCGTCCCTTCCCCTGCCTTCGTTGGATGACACCATGACTCGAGTACTTTCAAAATATTTAATCAAGTTAGAATTATTCCTTCGAATGTGCAATTCTTATGAAATTATAATGTATTACTTGCAGTACTTAAGATCTGTTCGTCCACTTCGAGACGATGCCGACTATGCCAGGTGAGTAAAATTTAATACTGACAATTTGATCTTCATGTTGTAAATATTTATGTTTTTACACAGGCTGGAAAAGTTAGCGAAAGAGTTCAACCAAGGCATTGGAAACAAGTTGCAACGCTACCTCGTTTTAAAGACGTGGTGGGCCACCAATTATGTGAGCGATTGGTGGGAGGAATATGTCTACCTTCGCGGACGGTCACCCATCATGGTCAACTGTACGTATTTATTTATTAGTCAAGGGGGAACAGGGCTGAATGCCCTTTGTTCTTGGTTGAGAGGACGCGACTAAGATTATTCTTTCTCGAATTTATAGCCAACTTTTACGGATTAGACGCCATACTTGCCCATCCAACAAAAATACAAGCAGCTCGTGCTGCCAATGTCACACATGCAGCCCTTCTCTTTCGACGAGCCATTGAACGACAGGATTTAGAACCGGTAAGAAATAGTCAAATTTTGCTACTAACGTGGAAAAAAGTTGATGAACCATTGTAATAATTGAGTAATTATTTTCAACAGATTATGATTCAAGGGCTGGTCCCACTGTGTTCGTGGCAGTACGAAAGAGTGTTCAACACTACCAGAATCCCAGGCATTCAGACGGATCGTCTCCAACATCTGGATGACAGCACATGGATTGCCGTGTACCATAAGGGACGCTACTACAGCATGCCAACCTATTACAGAAACAGACTCATGGAACCTGCCGAGCTTCAGGTTATGTTCGAACGCATTTTGGCAGATACCTCTGTGCCTTCAAAGGGGGAGGAGAAATTGGCCGCGTTAACGGCATGGGAGCGAGTTCACTGGGCCAAAACTAGGCGTGAATTTTTCTCAAAGGGAGTTAATCGTAGTTCGCTGGACTCGATTGAAAAGTCAGCTTTCGTCTTGGTGCTTGATGACGAAGAGTATCATTTTGATCCTGTAAGTGCACTCATAATCTGTAATTACTCGCTAATTTTTCAAGATTAAAAAAATCATTGTTATCTCATCATTCGCAGAATGACTCTTCGAAGCTCAACCATTTCGCCCAACGGATGCTACATGGAAATGGTTATGATCGTTGGTTCGACAAGTCGTTTACCATTGTTATTGCTAAAAATGGACGAGTACGTTTTTTTTCATGGAACTAAACTGAACTAATTGCTCCCCTAAAAGACCATGATTAATATCATTTTTATTTTTCAGATGGGATTCAACGCTGAGCATTCATGGTAAGTTGTGAGAGAGTATAATTACTGTAAAGTTGTGAAAGTATCTCCACCTTAAATTATTTCAAGGATTTGTGCAAAAGTCATACTATTTTTCAGATGAAAAAAATAATCAAATATGTAGGGTTACATTTAGCTCGATTTCAAATTTTCATTTTATGAACTTAACGTTTTCAAGACTGATTTTGGATGTATATTAATCTTTATTGTGCGCCTTGGTAAGGTCGGACGCCGCCATATTGGCACACATGTGGGAGTTTGTGTTAGCTGAAGATAATTTTAACGGAAGGTAATTTTACTTGAAGCGACATCGCCGACAGTTAACATTTGATTTGCGCTTCAAAAGTATTTCCTTGTTTTTGCACATTTTATTTTCTCATTGCACTTTTAAACCCTTTTACTCCAGCAAGAATATAAAATTTTAGCTAATAGCTATATTAATTACAAATGCAAGGGTCTATAATGGTGGTGGTATTTCTGGTGATGGTAACGTGGTCTCAGGCGACTGAGAAGAAATAATATGTTTCAAAAGGTATGTGTAGATATCAGGGTCAGGAGATCTAGTCGGTATAAAATTGGTGGTGGTGAACAGCGTCGAGCAATGATAATAATTCTTTAAAAGGTCTGATGCTCCCATTCTGGGTCACTTGTGGGAACATTGCTTGGGAGAAGAAATGTTCACTTACGGGTAAAGTTCAATTAATATGTATCAGGGGGGTGTCTCGCAGAATAGTTTATGTAGCTGATTGGATCTAACTTAAAACATTAAGCGTGATAATTCCTTAGGATTAGTACTGCGGGTATACCTATATTAACCGTTACGCTTTCCCAAAATAAATGGGTTGGGTGCTATGAATTGAAAATATGTTTGGAACTAATTCGCAATTATGTAGCCATCATGTTTTATGTATATCTTAAGCTATATTCACTTTTTGCTAATAAGACTTACTTTGTACTGAATCCGCCAGTTTATCTTATTGCACATTACTTTTACCATAATTTTGTTCCTGCTTTTCCACTTGCTTCATGTTGTATTATATCTCAATCGTTAAAGCCATTGAATTTTAATTAATTTACTGAATGTGTGTGCTGTATGATGCAGATATGACGCTCAGGGAAACACAAACGGATCTGTGGAAGTAGAGGTAATTTTCATTGCTATTTTTACTTTTTGAAACAAGTACCGACCAATTAAAAGAATTTGATGTATAACAATATTATTATTTTCAGCTTCCTCAACCTAAGAAACTAAAGTGGGAGATTCCCACAGAAGCTCTGGAAGCTATTGAATATGCCTCCAATTGCGCTCTCGTCCTGCTTAACGATGTGGATCTGAAACTGGTCATGTTCAACCATTATGGTAAAGGCTTCATGAAAACGTGTCGTGTCAGCCCCGATGCCTTCATTCAAATGGCCTTGCAACTTGCCTACTTTCGCGTAAATCTAACAGCTTAATTTAGAATTTTTGATACCTTGTTAGGAAACAACTATTGCAAATGGTACATTATTTTTTGCTTTAAATAGGATGCTGGTAAATTCAACCTGACATATGAAGCATCCATGACAAGATTGTTTAAAGAAGGCAGAACTGAAACTGTGAGACCTTGTACGATCGAGTCTTGCGCGTGGGTGCGGTCAATGGATGACCAGTCAAAAACGGTGATAAGAAAGCATATTAATTAATAAGCACATGTTTTACCAATTTTAGCATTATTACTAACTAAACTATTACTGAACATTTAGGGCGAGCAAAGAATTGCATTGCTGAGGGATGCGTGCAGACGGCATCAGTTGGGTTACCAAAATGCCATGGTTGGTAGTGGAATCGATCGTCATCTCTTTTGCCTATACGTTATCTCCAAGTACCTGGAAATCGATTCTCCATTCTTGAAGGTTATTGTCGTATTCAGTGCATGACATTTCTGCATGGATGAAATTTTGTGTAGATCTCATTACATTTGCATATTCTGTATTTCTTGCTTCGCAGGAGGTATTGAGTGAGCCCTGGCGACTCTCGACATCTCAAACTCCTCATGGTCAAACTACCAAATTGGATCTGGTCAAGCATCCCGATTGCATATCGGCCGGTGGTGGGTTTGGACCCGTGGCTGATGATGGCTATGGAGTGTCCTACATTATCGCTGGTGAAGATGTTCTCTTCTTTCACGTCTCCTCGAAGAAGAGCTCGCCGGAAACTGTAAGTCACGTCATATTGCGATAACGAGACAGGCATTCCATCTGCAAACCTCTGATAAGAAGCCTTGACATTCCAACGCGAGAATGTATTAAATACCAATCTATCTTCGTATATATTTCAGGATTCGGAGAGATTTGGCCAGAACATTGTAAAAGCTTTGGACGATATAAAGAGTATGTTTTCCAGTCTGAAGAAGAATGGAGCTTAGTGACACCAAGATATTTATCGCTGCGCTGCTGTTGTTCGAATTCTTCTTCTTAAAAACCTACACAATAGTGATGATCATTTTAGGTTTAACTTATTGAAACGTTGTTGTAGCCCCGAGATTTTATTAATGCATTTCCTTATAAGCGTATTTTGTGTGAGATCCATACATATGAAATAATACAAATTTTGGGAAGATAAGGATCACGTCGCATGAGTCAATAATAATATCTAATAATAATCAAATAAAGAGAAAAAATAAATTCAGTTTTTTTGCTCAGAGAATAAACCAAGGTTTGCATCTGAGGATCTTTTTGTCATTATTTACTTACTCATGGCATCAAGCCAAAGTGAATTGAAACATCGTCTACACTGTTTACATTCACAGAACAAATAATTTGGTCAACAACCAACATTTTCTACAACATCGGCTCCTTGGGTGCAGAATAATAATGTCGCCCGATTTTTTTCCTGTCTTTCTTTCAGCATGAGATGGGCTCGATAATTGAGGTAGTAAAGAGCCAGCAATGCATATTTAGCGTTTAGTGTAATGTAGACCATGTAATGAACCGGAGCGTCTCATTTTCCCCGCTTCATCACATATTATGCAGGCCCATGTATTTATATGCCGTTTTATAATAACAGTCCTTATAACATATTACATGCACGTTTACTAGTAAGTAACCAACCACTTGTTATTTTACTTTAGAAGACTTCTCAGTAATTGGTTCTTCTGAAAAAAATGTAATTGTTCAAATATGATATGCTATTATTATTAAGGTTACAACATTTTTCGACTATGCACCGGCCACGAAGAAACACCCCCACCAAGCAAGCAACCATCCCCTGAATATTATATTCTCCTCTTCCTCGCCGTGTGTAGAAGAATGGAGAATATATAATAATAGGAGGAAAGGTAAGGTAATAAATAAGTACCGACCGATGTACATTGATTGTTTATTCAACTGTGCTTAACGAGGACATCATTTTATTTCCACTGACCTACATACAACCCAAACCAAACTTTTTAAAACTACCTGCTGTGCCTGGTTTTATTTTTTTCGTTATAAGCTGCAATTACATTGACTTCTTCTAGTAAAATGTACAAGCCTGCCAATTACAATATGAGCATGTTGCGGCATACACTAAGCTCAAAATGAGAAAAGGTTCATTTCATGACTAGAGTAGAGGCCCGTTCAAGAACGGGTTCTAGCTCCCAGAGGGGGTGTGCCCATAGCGCAAAATCCCCTACGCTACACTTCAAATAATTCCCAGTGGAGACTTTGTCCATTGTCATAATACATATGTACGTGCATCAAATCATACATTTCAATTTCCCTGATCACGGAACAATTTGACTTCCCCCTCTTGTAGTGGCTGCATAGGTAACTACTTAAATTCCCGTCGCGTGAGGGTGGCTGCATAGCTAAACACTTAAATTCCCATCGCGTGGGGGTGGCTGCATAGGTAAACACTTAAATTCCCATCGCGTGGGGGTGGCTGCATAGCTAACTACTTAAATTCCCGTCGCGTGGGGGTGGCTGCATAGCTAACTACTTAAATTCCCGTCGCGTGGGGGTGGCTACATAGCTAAACGTTTAAATTTCCACAGGATGTGGTGGCCGAATGACAAAAACCTTAAATTTCCAGAGAGGGGGTGACTAAAAAACAAAACACTTAAATTTCCAGAGAGAGGGGTGATTAACTAACAAAAAACTCAAATTTCCAGAGGGAGGGGTGACTGCATAGCAAAAAAGTTAAAATTCCAGAGAATAGGATATGAATTTTATGCTGCTGGTATGTTTACAATTCTACTGCAAGAAGATAGAGACAAAGTGTCGCGGCAGAGTCATCATGGGTACGCTCAATGGTGTAGCGGAGCACACGCTGGTTGCGTAAACTCCATTCAATAGTAGTGGGGCGAGTTGCATTGAGAGCCACAGGGACCCAGCCAGCCAGGCAGCCAGAACTTAACAATAGCTCTTTATGTATATAGATACTTTACACTTGCTGCCACATTCTCATTTTTAGCACTACTCTGCTCTCTCTTTAGTTATGGCTGAGGATGGATGGATGGATGGAATCCATTTCAGTTTATGTTTATGTTGCTCATAAGAGCAGCTCAGGATCTTTGTTCCTAAAAAGTTTTTTTTCTACTACTCTCCTCTCTCGAAAGTATGTATGTACATACATATTTTGTGCATGAGGATGAACCACACACGGTTGTTGGAGGGTTGTTCTTTATTAGAATGAGACTATGCTTGTGGCTACTACTACCATTTTTCTTCTTCTCTTGCTTTTGAATACAAATTAACTACGACAAGTCAGACCAAGTTGAATTGCAAGGGAACCTTCTTCTCGCCTACTATCTCTCTAACAAAACTACCACCGGTTTGGCAACGATATTGGGTACACTCACACCAAAAATGATGAGCCTCCGCAGAATTCGAGACATATTTGCTGATTAGAGAGATGGACTCTGATATGATTTCATGCATACTTTCATGAACAACGTAAAGTTGGGGAATGTGGGAATGTGAGACGATGAGAAATATTTTACCTTAGCCACAACTTCATCTCATGTTAACATACGCATTCAAAAAATTTTTCAAATTCCAAAGTTTCCTATATTCAAAGATTTCCAACAGATTTCATACGACTCCCGACAAAGACAAAGGATTGCACATTTTGCAACAGACAGTATCGGGCGTGTCTCATGGAAGTAGCGTAACTGTGATGATTTTACACCACTCTCCAATGAGAGAGAGCTTGCTGATGATAAGCAGTCTTGCCCCATTATTTAGGGGAATCAGCACGTCGAACGTTGTTCATCTGCAGACGGCTCGTCTCACAAAGGAACCAGAGGGGCTTGAGGGGAACGTTGTTTGTGAATGTGGCAGGGGGTTTCGAGCCTTTACAGAGTTGGTTCTTTCATGTGATACATTTGGCGTTTCGTGTAATGTGTAGTGGAATGAAATATCCTTTGCTTTGCAGAGGAAACTTGCAGCAGGACTTTGTGAGGAATAGAGGATGGCCGACCATGTTACATTATTATATGTAGTTGGCCAAGTCGACGATATTGTTGCTGGCATTAGTGTTGATTCGAAAAGTCAGTGAGTTCATACTTCGTGAGGTACGTTATTTGTAAGCTGGGGGCTTTGGTAACTCTAAACTACAATTGGTAATTCTAAAAAACTAAATAATTATTATTTCTAAAATATTAAGTAAAAAAGCAACGACGAGTCTGTCTCATCGAGTGAAATTATTTAATCTAATAACTTTTAGGTAGGGAGTTCCGAATTAGGTGTAAAATAATACGAAATATTGAGAAAAGGAGAGAGAAAGAAAATAATACGAGCCACTCTACGCTAAAAAAAACTTGACTACTGTACTATCTGTAACTAACTATTATTGTTATTATTGTTATTAAGATAAAGCATCTCTGGACTGGATTGTAACGAAACCAAACCATCTCAATCTTACCGCGAGGTAGGGACAAACAATTATTTATTGTTAATTGTTCACCACTACTTTTCTATACTGTATGTAACTAACTATCACACACTACACACTCTCTCTGCTACATTTACTAATTGCGGTAGGGAATTTGTGCGGTCACAGAAATTTCGAATCACAAACCAACTCCGTATTACTGCTGGCTAACGACGAGAGTCAGGAGCAGGATAGTAGGAAGGCAAAGAAATATACTATTTTTGGAAATTGTTACTAAATAAGTCACTACTTAAGTAGATAAGGAAAATAACGTCAGCGTTTAGTCGTTGTTGTTGTTGATGATAAGTCCGATCCGAAGTACTCAGAAAAAGTTCAACATTATTCATATTTAGACTTAATAACGAAGGAAGAAGAAGAAGAAGGACGGAAAGTGCTCCCTAGAATATAATACATACGTACGTACTATAGTAGTTAAGTAATAAGAGACGAATTAAAAAAGGACAGAGTTAATTAAGGAACGAGGAAAACAGTTTTTTTTTCTTTTTCAACCCAAAAACGAGTGAAACGAGGATTTTTTTTAAGGTAGGACAGAGGCAGGCAGACAGGTAGATAAACGAAAAAGACCCCACTACTTGATTCATTTCCACTTTTATTCATCCCTTTTGGGGCCATAGAGAAGAAGAAAAGGACGAAGCAGAGAGAACATACCAAGGACTAATTAAGTAAACCAAGTGTTTTATTGTTATCCTAGTTCGTAATTGAAACTGAGTATGCAAAAGCAATTGTGATGTCCGAAATTCACCATTCACAACTCTCCTACAAGCTTATCGAGTAAGTTACTGCGGAAATTATAACGCATATTATTAGATACTCTACTCACTCTTGTAGAGCTATCGTCGTCATCCTCTCGTTTCATCGTCGTCAGTATAAAAGCAGAGAGCATCTGTAAGCGAGGTGCACTAAACACACACTACTATATACGTTATATGATTGATTGATTGTAGTAGGAAATTTCGACTCGGCGACTCGATAACTGTAATAAGTTGAAATTTTGTAACAGGGACACTAGGGAACTTTCGCAACTTACTGTGATATTTGTAAAAAGTCATAAGAGACTCTGGAAACTCTTGCATTAAAACAAAACAAGTAATCTAAGCAACTTAAGATAATAAAACTGAGCCGGCTAAAAAACACTACAAGTGCATCCATATTATACTACTGTTATAATAATAATACGCTAAATATATAAACATATATATATAATTAGAAAAAGTAAGCGATAATAAAATGCTGGAGGAGTAGGACAGCAACAACAAGCAATGTATGAGAGCAGGTGCTTATCATCGTCGTAGGCCACCACTATCTGCATTATTATTACAATAATAAGAAGAAATACCTTAGTAGAAGACAGGAAGGAAGGCAGGTAGGCAGGAGGATTATACTAGTAGAAAGGGGAGGAAAGTAAGATAGGATTAGGACCACCTCAACTGAAACCAAAGCAAAAGAAGAAGAAGGGGAACGTACGAGGCTAATTTCTAAACGACATCACCATCATCGACAAACCTAAAACCACACCCTTTGCGGACTGAGCTCAAAACAAGTTGACCTGGATTGATATTGAAAGACGAAGAAAGAAGAAGCTACTACTATTCCGAAACCAAGTCATTTAGTAAATTGCAGAAGAATTGTTTAAAGAACTACTCGGGTTGCCGTTGACCTTATATATGATTGATTGCAACAGCAACGAACGACCTTATTGTCAAATCAAAAATAAATAAATCAGCTCCATGTTAAACGATATATGCAAGTCGAAAGAATAAGTAACGAACTAACTAACTACACATACATACGTGACGCGAAACTAACGTCAACCGTTCTGAGTGCCCATTTTCATAGGAAACAACCTACCGTTAAGACTTCAACTATTCTATTCTTAAAAAAATACAGCCCATTTCACTAACCGTGTGATCATCACTATAAAATAATATTTTAAAAAAGAAGAAAAAAAACCTGCTAAAAAACTTTCAATTGCTTGCCACAGAGCAGTTTGTCTTATTAGAAGAATAAACTTTTTAGTAAAACGATAAGTGAACAAATCTCTGCAATAATCACCACCATCGTCGTATTCCAAATAACGACTCCAGATACAGATTCAAATCTAAACCTAAGTCTTCAATGTCAAGCTGGAACTTTGGGGGGAGTCGTGGCGTGGGGGCCGATCCCTCGGGATTGTTGGACCTCAAGGCCCTCCTCAACCAAGTGACTGGGGGCTCTCTCGGGCCCGTTGGTGGGCTGGGAACGGCCGTCGGAAGTGGGAACCGTTCTCTGGGTGGGGGGTCCCGACTCCAAAATTCATCCTCCATCTATGGCAATCATGGCGGCTGCGGAACTGGTAAGGCGACATTTTACTTTGCTTTGCACTTATTATTTTTTTTACAACTCATCATCAATATCGTCATGCATTAAGAATTTCCTCTAAGAAAAAACTTTTTAATAATTGCAGACTTTGACCTGATAGGTAACCCTGCCGGCGTGATTGGGTCGATGAACAACCATTCCGGACTGGATTTGGGGGGCTCTGGAGGGGGAGGTTTCGATCCGTTCTCGTCCATGTCTACTTTCGGCTTCTTCAATCCAAAGGACCCCAATGGCCAACAACAACAACAACAACACCAACAAAGTAGCAACAGCCATAACTTGACCGTACACGGGATGAATAAGAGTCCTACTTACCAACAACACCAACAACAACATCAGCAGCAGCAACAACAGCAACAGCAACAAGGGGAAGTTTCTCCAGTTTTTGGCTCATCCCAATCTCCAATCAACTTTTATGGGGGTGGTGGAAACAACTCTTCCTCCCACAACAACTTCTCATCCAACTCGTCGGAATCTAACTATGCAACTACTAACAAATTTCCGATCAGCACCTTCTCCATTGATGACACCATCCCGGTAAGAATAAGATATTTTTTTAATTTTAAAATAAATGTGGAGAAATTTAGCACAAAGGAATCGCTTGTTTACATTGCATACCCACACACAGTCTTAGGATTAGTCCCTGGGTTCCAAACGGGTTGGTCCCAGGATTAGATATACTATGTGAGCAATTAATTATTTAATTGACTTTAATAACAATGTTTACTTATTTCACAGGGACGAGAGAATCGCCAGCGAGAGCGAGAGTTACGTGAGCAGCGAGAACTTCGCGAGTTGAACTCTGCATTTAGTAACTCTGGAAATGACGACTCTAGCAATAACTTCCACATTTCTCATTTCGGATCTACTAATTCGTCCTCCTCCAACAATTACCGTGAGCGCGACAACGTCTTCAACAATACCAGCTCTGGAAATCATAGCAGTAACAGCAACAACCACACCAACAATCGCCAGACAAGTGAGCAGGGGGAGGGAACTTCTTTCAATCAGAATCAGGGAGTTCGAGAGACTGGAATCATTGAGAAGCTTCTGGTAGTAGTAATTATGGGAATACTAGGGATATGAATGGTAATGATTACAATGTTTTTTGGTCTTTGTTTTTAGCATTCATATGGATTTATCCAGTGCTGTGAGCGACAGGCTCGACTATTTTTCCACTTTAGTCAATTTGATGGAACCATTGAACATCTCAAGTTGGGCGACCCTGTGGAGTTTGAGATGACGTATGATAGACGAACTGGGAAGCCTATTGCTAGTGCGGTCACAAAAATTGGACCTGAGGTGGTACGTCTGTTATATTCCATGATGTGTTAACAAAATAACCTAGACGCCCATAATCTCTGGGTTTTTTTACTGGACAGGTTCTAAGTGAAGAAAGAGTGACTGGTACGGTCACAACAGAGTTGCATCACGAGAGCAATGGAGAACTCCAAGGACGGATCAGCTATGAAAATAGAGGAGAGTGCTTTTTCTTGCCCTACTGTCAAGAAGACATCGAAGGAAATGTGACTCTGTCCGTGGGAGATACCGTGAGCTTCCAAATAGCCACCAACCAGAGAAGTGGAAACTTGACGGCGAGATATTGCCGACTGGAAAATCCAGCACGACCTGTGCGATACAGGGGGGTAGTTGGATCCTTGAAGGACAATTTTGGATTCATTGAGAGGGCGGATGTCGCTAAAGAAATATTCTTCCAGTTCTCTGAAACTCGGATCACTGACAGCGTCACGATCGGAGATAACGTGGAGTTCAACATCGTGACTCGAAGCGTACGTACCCCTATATTTTTATAACTTGATTGTATGCGATATTTTGGCGAATTAAAGTGCATGGATGCATGTGTTTACAGGGAAAAGAAGTGGCATGCACTATCACCAAGTTGCCATATGGAACTGTTAGCTTTGAGGATATTGGGATGGACACGTTGAAGGGACAGATTTTGAAGCCAATAGACAAAAGTCAATGTCCAAGTCCTGCTGCTCTTGGTCCCACACCTCGTTCGGAACAAGCTGAGGGTAGGCTTCGTTATCGTGGACCGGATCGCCAAGAACTGGAAGTTGTGTTCGGAGAGAAAGATCAAGTTGGATTCTTTACTATGCGACATGGGGACTGGGTCCAGTTTCAGTTGGCTATCGATCGTCGCAATAAACAACAGAGAGCTACAAATGTAGTATTATTAGAAGAATCTTTCTCAGGTGAGTGTATATCAACTACCACACAATTATTATTGCTAACATGTTGAATAATAATATTACTCCTCCTAATAAGTATGATTTTAAATTGAGTAATTGAGTACCTATATAGTCTGTCTCAAAATGAAGAGATAGTTTTGGAAAATTCTACTATTTCTTAATAGCTTGCTCCTGGGGCCCAAAGTTTTTTCATATTATAGCTCAGGTATTGCTACAAGTTCATGCCAAGTTTCATTGAGATTTGACTTAAATCAAGAAATTTATATTCAATCTTACAAAATTAGTCAAAATCGACTGTCTCAAAAGTAAAAGATAGGGCATTTTTATGAAATTTAAACATTTTATAAGTAAATTTGAGGGGAGTAAGTACCCTTCAAACTTATTCTAGTATTTGGAAAAACCTTTCTTAGCTAGAATTAACTCGCATATTCGTCGCTTCATTGAGTCATTGAAGTGCTGAAGGGTGTCCAGCGGGATATTTGCCCATCCGCCATGCATCATTTGCTCCAATTCCTTTTTGGTTCGAAATTGACGTCAACCCGACGCGAGAAGTTGGCCCAAAAATTCCTCATGGGATTTAGGTCAGGACTGCTAGCCGGCCAAGCCAAGTTCTCGGCATTTTTCCTGGCAAAAAAGTCCATGATTAAACGGGAAGCATGAATTTTGGAGTTTTGCTTCTGAATATCCAACCTCATCCGCAAATTCTGGGTCCCAAGCTGACGAGATTTGACTGGCGTACTCTCTGATAACCTCGTGAACCTGTTCTGTGTGTAATCGGTGCTATTTCGGTCTTTCCAGTATATCCAAATCCTCCCATAATATTTCAAAATTACCCCTTAAAAATTACAAATTTAATTTAAATATGGTTAACATTTATTAACACATTTTGGTATGGGGTATTTTTTAGACAAGAATGTAGGTTATGCATGGGACTAAAAAAATATTCTGCATAAAAATATTCATCCAAAAATATGAACCACAAATTTAAATTGAATTTGTAATTTTTAAGGGAAAATTTGGTAATATTGTGGGAGGTTTTGGATATCGTGGAAAGACCGAAATAGCACGAGTACACCCAGAACAGATTCACAAGGTTATCAGGGAGTACGCCAGGCAAATCTGGTCAGCTAGGGACCCAGAATTTTGCTGATAAGGTGGGATATTCAGAATCACAACGCCCAAATTCATGCTTCCGGTTTTATCATGGACTTCTTTGCCAGGAAAAATGCCGGGAACTTGGCTTGGCCGGCTAGCAGTCCTGACCTAAATCCCATGAAGAATTTTTGGGTCAACTTCTCGCGTCGGGTTGACGTCAATTTCGAACCAAAAAGGAATTGGAGCAAATGATGCATGGCGGATGGGCAAATATCCCGCTGGAGACCCTTCAGCACTTCAATGACTCCATGAAGCGATGAATATTCGCGTTAATTCTAGCTAGGAAATGTTATACCGAATACTAGAATAAGTTTTAAAGGTAGTTAGCCCCTTCAAATTAACTTATAAAATAATTAAATTCCAAAAAATGCCCTATCTCTTACTTTTGAGACAGTCGAATTTGACTAATTTTATAAGATTGCAGATAAATTTCTTGATTTAAGTCAAATGTTAATGAAACTTGGCGTGAACTTGTAGCAATACCTGAGCTATAATATAATAAAACTTTAGGCTCCAGGACTAAGCTATTAGAAAATAGTAGAATTTTATAAAACTATCTCTTCATTTTGAGACAGAGCGTATATACAATCTTGTGATTATAATTTTAGTGTCCGGAGAAAGGCGTGAAGAGGGAGTCATTTCTGGACTAAAAGGAGATTGTGGATACATTACTTGTGCTGAGCGAGATCAGAAAATGTACTTCCGCATTTCAGAGTGCCTGGAATACAATCGTCAGCCCAAAATTGCTGACGATGTAGAATTTACTATTGTTCAAGATCCCACCAGTCCAGTGCGTCAATCTGCTATCCGAATCAAGCACTTGAAGCATGGATCGGTTCAGTTTGAAGTTCCAGTAAGTCAAGGTCTTCACGGAGTTGTTACTCGAGAGCCGTCCACCCCATGGGTATGTGAACTTTTAATTTTCTAGTATTAAGTATTAGTATTAAAATGTCCTCTACAACCGTCAAGGACAAATCTTTTACTTTTCAAAACTCTGAAAATAACATAAGCAAGCATTAACATAAACACTAATCTGAATATTTGCATTTTAGGTGAGTCAGGAAGCACTTGCTGGGATTTTACCGTCGTTGTCCAACCTTGGTCTTCCAACCAACTTGACTGAAAGGCTGATCCAAAGCCTTTCCAGCTCTGAAGTACTCGCCCAGTTATCCGGCAATAACGGAAATGATGCTCAAGGAGAGCCGGGTGTAATTCAGTATGCCGAAGCTAGCGCCAACGGTGGCTGGCCCCGGCAGCAAGATACCATTCAATTCCATTGGAAAGACTGCAAACATCTTCGAAACATTCGGGTCGGTACAAAGGTACGTTGATTGATAATCTTCATTGATTTTATTAGTTAATTAAAAGCCTACTATCCGATTGCACTATTAGTCGAAAAACTCTACAAGGCTTCCTGGCGATTTATTAGTAACCGTTTGCAAAACTCCTCAAGAAATTCAGACTAATTTGTACTGCATAGTACTCACCTTATGCAGGTGTCATACCCCATATTTCATAATCGTGGTACATGTAGTTGAGAGTAAAAACTTTTCCGGAGAAAGTGTAATCGAGGCATTTTCATGTGAACTTTGTGCACATATACAAATGGGTGGCTTGCTGGGGCGTATTACTACAAAAAAATGAGGGAAGAAAATTTGTTCTATTTGCCGATTATATTGGGAAAGGAGTAAATTTTTTCTCTGAGGTCGATTTGAAATTCAGTGAATAAAGAATCACAGGTCACAGTTAACAAGTGCCCTTTGATTTACAATTAGTGTGAATTAGCTGAATACTAGCTTTTGAAGGGAAATTAAGTGTTATCCAGCTTTGATTACGAGTGCTTGAATTTTCCACAGATTGTATTCGACATACACCAAGTCCGCCGCAACCGAGAACTGGTGGCAGCTAATATACGAGCCGACAATTCCTGTCCTCTGTCGGAAAGCCCGACCAGTCTACTTCAACAATTTGCAAATGCTTCTGCAGCGCCCGGAGGTTTTAACCACGGATCGTTGAATACATGTGATATGGGGGCTCTCATGAGCTCACTTCTTGGAAATAGCAATAATACGGCGGATAATACCATACCAGTTGGAGGAGATAATTTAGTTAACGAAAATCGCAACAACGATGTCTTTGTTGGAGCAGAAAAGGAGAATAGCATCTCGAGTAGCCAAGAGTATCTGATGAGATTCTCTAATTCTACCCAACACGGTGGCCTAAGCTTTGGAGCGGATGAACCCGAAAACAATACTAACGGTTTATACCGAGAAGAATCCTGTTCGGACATTGATGAAATTGGACAAGGGGATATGTACATGGTTCGAAAATCGAGCAGGAGTCCTTCAGACTCTTCTGATGTCGTTGCCGTAAATGGAAGTTACAGTGGGTACTCGGAGGACAACCCGTCTCCTCCCCAGTCAACGACTAAAACTCCTCGCGTCGTAATGAAGGGGTACATTGCAGCCTTGAAAGATGGTTTTGGTTTCATTGAAACTATGGCCCAGGATGGGGAGATATTTTTTCATTCAAGGTGAGCCCTGCTACCAATTTTATGTAAATAATGGTAATATCGTTAATGTAAATTGTAGAGCTTGTCTAAATATTATTTCCATTTTATGATTTTTTCCTAGCTCCCTGGTTGGAGATTTTGCAGCTTTGGAAGTTGGGCAGGAGGTTGAATACGTTGTTAGCAGCAAAGGAAGCACATCTGGAAAAAATGCTGCAGATATTGTTAAGCCCCTCCCAAAGGGTTCAATCGGGAGAGCTGCCGTGTTTCCTGACATTCTTCAAGGCATTGTTGTTCGACCCCTTCGAGGAGCCAACCCAGACCAAACCGAGTACACTGGACTTATCGATGGGCAGGATGGACAAGCTTATCCATTTGGTATCATATCAATGCTAAACAAGAAGGAACTGCTACAGGTTTGTAGTCCAAAATTCTATGCCAAATTCTTCAGTTTTCTCATTTCTTGAATTTACTAACAAAGAGTATATAAATAATAAATATACATGTAATTTTATGTAATTTTATTAGTCGGGAGAAGCTGTCGAATTTCAACTGGATGCTCAAGGAAAACCAGTAAATATTCGAGCTATTCGAAAGAAACTTCGTGCTACTGTTGAGGCAGTTAAAGGTAAAAACAGTCAATTGGTTCTGACAGTGGATAAGTCTTGTTCCGCTGGATATTTTCATAGAATTTTTTGTTTAAACAATTTAGGCCAATATGGATTCTTGTCGTATGAGTTGGAAGATGGGAAAAAATTATTTTTCCACATGTCAGAAGTTAAAGATCATCAACATTTGAATCCTGGCGATGAAGTTGAGTTTGTTATTCTTCAGAATCCACGAAATGGAAAGTCATCCGCGTGCTCCGTGGTCAAAGTCGGGTGCGTAGTACAAAAAATTAGGTAGCACCACACACTTTTTTAATTAGAAAAACATAATATCAGGAATTTTCAATTTTAATTTAATTTCAGTGAAAGTCAACGTCCAGAACGCCTTCTGAATCGTTTGTCAAAGTTGTCGGTGGACGAATCTGCTCCTAGACTGGTTGTGGTGCGCCAACCTTTCGGCCCTGATGGCACAAAGGGGTTCGCCCAACCGCGTGTCCCACGCAAACCGGGTGTCTTAAACATGAGCCGCGACTCAACCAGTAGCGCTGGCAGTCAATAATTTATTATCATGTGTATAAGTGTGTCAGTTGCATGCATAATCTAATCTTCTACAATTGCTGTGTGTAATTGTCGTCCCGTCGCTTTCATCATCATCGTCGTCAACATCATCTACTAAATCCTAAACTACTTTGTCGTCTGAAAAGGTATCTTCGTTGAACAACTTTTTAGTTTGTAATAAGAGTAATCCTACTACTACTACCACTACTTTTGTTTGGAATTTTAGTCAATGTCCCACCCAATTACTACTAATGGTACATTACTTTTTTTGTTCGACGTTGATAAAGTATGTAATACAAATGCAATCGTATATTGGTTGCGTTGCTCCAAGAAATGATAATTATGATAATTATGATCTTGAATCTAAGGTGCTACAACTGATAGGCTGGAAAAGTTTGTTTGAATTACGAGTATGTAACATAATGAGTAACGTAGTCACATCACGTCATGTCTTTGATGATACCGATATAAACAAGTGTTCGAAATGTCTCCGTTAACCTTGAGTACTGCACATACATATTATTATTATTATAATTATTACTATTATTAGCCATTGTCATCTTTATGATATGTATCTTATTATTATTATAATTATTATTATTATTTGAGTAACGTGAGTTGGTATGAAACTGTAGGTAACGTTAAATGATTTTTGAAAGAGTGGTTGGATGGAAAGCGAGTGAGCGTCTATATGTGAGCATTTACCGATGATGATGTAGTTCATCAGATTACGATTCGCTTACATTACTACACTATATGTATAACAAGTTTTAAAATCTAAGAACTAGGGAACGTTAAGTATTTAGATGTCAAGGTATATGTAAGAAATCTCCAAGAACGGAAAAGACTGCATAAAATAATTCATCAAACTACAATACAAATGAAACTAGAGACTATAGGTTAAGGTTTTAATTTATACATCATCATCTAAATCTAGCTCATTTTTGCAACCTAGAGTATTTCATTTTTACCAGTAGTTCTCAAAATTCTTGCTTACTTATTTTGCAACTGGGTTTCCCCTGTTTATTATATTACTATATTTAGGAGAAGGGCAAATATGATATGTAACCTAAAGAAGAAGCCGTATCTTTTTGAGAAGACTTGAACCAATCCCATACAATAATATTTAAGCCTTTTGTTTTTATTAATTATTTTAGCAGGGAAACTACTGCTTCTTAAAATATTGTTCTCTTATTACTCCATGTATATCCCATAAATATATGTTGTGCGACATACATATTTAATATGCTTCAAGCAGTTAGATGATGTTTTTGATCCGAATTTTGTGTTGCTACCTGTAATATATGATAATTTCTTTATATAAGTAGATTTTGTTTTCCAAAAGAGTCGACATCATCCATCAGCAGAGTAGATGAGAAAAAACTACTTTGCTGGCTCTTGAAGAATAATATTCAAGAAGAATTTGCCAAACGCAATTTGAGCGATCTAGGTAGAAACGAAAAGTTACTTATTAAGACAACATTAAACAAAATAAGCAACAATTTGCCTTAGTTAATTGTCTGACATGGGCTGCCACAATCTGTAACGGAAAGTGGGTGTGGCGGCACAGTATGCAATTTTTTCATCCATACACATTCTAGCAAAAGTGTGAATACATATGTCGGCGAAATCAATCAGTGACCTATAAAATACATCATAATATTTACAATTTTAGTAAAAAATCAAAAAATGTTTTCCAAAGCTGAATTGTTCTTATAAAAAATGTAAAACTTGAGTAAGTACGAAGGAGAGCAGAAGGTGATTGTAATAATGTAATGTTTCCAAAACTGCATTCTCTGAATGGATAGCTTCTCAGTCTTGGTCCCACATACAGGCGAAAGACAATTTTTTTGTTCTTGTCGGTCTGTTTGTGGGACCTTTTCTACTTCCGATGATAACGAATCAATGTAAAAATATCGGTATTCAGAGAACTGCGGTGCTGAAATTTTTGTAACTGGGTCGTGATTGATTTTAATAGTCTATAATTCCATTGTAACTATATTTAAGAAATGTTAAGTATATTGTACTCAATACTCTGGACTGGATATAAATACATACATGAACATGAGGATGAAAATGATGGAGATTTTTTTCCAACTCCACTCCAGACACCAGAGAGAAAGAGAGAACATTATTAATGTCACTTTCGACTTGCCGTCGTCAAAGGCGTTAATGAAGTTAGGTTAAGGAAAACTACTTTTGCCTACAAGATAACATATATTATGTTTACCTTAATGAGTTACAAGCTGCAGTATCAATTTTAGTTTTCTTTATTATTCAAGTTCTTGTATTTTTATTAGTAATATAATAAGTAAGACCCCAACAATACTAAAATGTTAACAAGCAGTGATTGAATTCAAAACGGTTAGCAAAGTTGCCAAAGTCTTTTTAGGCTGATCAAAAACTGAAAATTACTACTGTTACTCATGCTTTGGTAACTCATTCTTTATTATTTATTTATTAATAACATGACTGAAATCTTTAGCTAAGTATGTAAGTAAACCAATTATGGCAAAAAAAGTTTGGTGATAATGCCAACAACATCAACCAGAAACAGTTGATACGATTACAATAATAAGCAAGCACTATATGAACTATTATTATTAAAAAGTAAGTAAAGTTGACACCCAGACCGTGCTGGTGCGACGTACGTATGTATTTACATGTCGTGTGACATGCTGAACAAAATGTATTTACAAACCAAATCTTAATACATTTCCAAGAAATGCTTATTTAATCCATTATTTTATAACCACCACCCATTACATAATATATATATGTGTTATTGTAACAGTAAAGTACGTAACGCGTGAAATTTAAAACATGTAGTGAAGGATCAGTTCAAACAAAATACTATGATTTTAATTTGATAGGATATGAATATTCAGGATAGTATTCAGTTAAATAAATGACTTTCTTTGCAGACAACCAAAACGCTTTACCCCAATATCAATGTGTATCACTGAAACAATCCCAGTTGTATATCAAAGTGTTGAATTGTCCCAGCCCCATTATAAAAATATGTAAACTATGGTGTCGATGACCAACAAAAAGTAATAAATCTGCCAAACAAATCCGAATCTCGATCATCATTTACTTATTTATTAATTACTCTCACTCTTATTTATCTCATTTTCATCTCATTTTAGCGATATATTTAATATATATGTTGTAGCTAGCTATGTTTTGCTCATGTCACTGTTTGAACGTACAAAAATTATGAAATTGTCTCTCGATCCGCACGAATTGATTGCTCATTGAGGAACTTTAACACCTATTTAAATAGCAATTGCATCAACAGCCTAGCCTGAATAGAAGAGAACGCTTATCGGCAGCTGCACTGACTGTTTCAGACTAGATGGTAAACGTTAATTCTTATGGCGATTATCATTATGTTGTGTTGTCCAAAAACAACGGAGTTACAGTGGCAGGCTTGAAGTGCCTGAAAAATATGAATATTTTTGCATATTTATCATGATTGCATATGCGAAATGATTTTATGCTTCTTACGCGTATTTAGAATATGGAACTCCAACAACGAGTATTTGACTGGTTTTCATATGTAATCTCCAAAGGCCGTTGTGATACCCTCGAGCATCCAAGTCCCAAATTTTAAAGCACTAATTAAAATACGGACATACATATTTAGTTACGCACTCAATACTTAATTTTCCATTAAAATTCGAACCTTGGCCATATGCAACCACGTGCGAAAATCTTTCCCGTCTTCCATTTTAATAAAAACAATTAATGGGACGCCCTGCAAAAAACTTGACTATAAAATAATGGCAAGTGTAGGGTAATGTTTTTTTAAAATAAAATACGACGATTCTCACCTGCGACTCTGGGACAAAGTCCTCTTCACAAGGAGATTTGCTGTGGTCAAGAACTTGCGCTTTGGACAGTAAATCGAGAATAACGGCCTCGTAATTCGCTTTGGTCAGACTAAACACCGATGGAATAATTAATTGCTCAATTATATTTTGTACTGATTTAATGGTACATACACGATGAATAATAATTCGATTTAGAAGATGGATATTTACCTGTTGGGATTATCGAGTCGCACTGAAGGCTGAGTGTTGAAAGCTCGTCTCTTAAAGTAAATATCTTGGAAATAAGAATTCATGTTTAGACCGGAAGCTCCGAAATGATAAGTTCTGGATAAGTCTGGAATAACGCATTCACGACCACGGCGAATTTCTGGCATGCGCATCCACATGTCCCAATCCCACATCTGGTGTAAATATTTTTTTTTTGCATGAACAATTCAATAATCACGTGCAAATGAACTTTAATTGCGTTTATATAAAATACCTTATCTGCGGTAGGCCATTTCTGCTCAAGCTCATCTTTATACAATGACTTTTTCAGCAACCAACCCAAACCTGGTGGAAATAGGACTTTAAAGTAACGGTTATACTTAACTATAACTGTAATACCAAACCTGGCATAGTTTCCACTCGATAAAGAAGCTTTGGGTCAGAACTTGTGTGTTCGTACCCTTGATCATTCCACGCCGATATACAATATAGGCTTTCGTCGTCTAAAAGTCGCATCGTTTGCTTAAAATATCTGCAAAAACAGGGTATGCTAATTTCAAACATATTTCATAGTAAAGTATGTCCACGTGTTATTAAAGCAATTTACGAGAAGAAGTCTGGAGAAATGTCCAAGTCCTCTTCCACAATAATTGCATAGTCTGCTTTTGGGAAGAGGTTGAACGTGGCAGTGAGGGACGCTTTATAGTGCTGAGAAATTCTTGCATTTCGAGAACCCAGAGGCGTATGTTGTATTCCTCGAAGTCCAAAAAGGCGACATATCGACATTGGTTCTTCATAATATCCGTCGATAAACCTTTTCGAAACGAATAGAAGCAGAATTGTATACATTTTGCATGCTACGTCACGCTCATTGACTTTCCAAACTTACACAGTGATCATCCCAGGGTTGGCTCCCTCTGCGGACAACATGGACCTCAGCATTCTTGGCGCAAGACAAATAAATATTCGCATAAGTATCCAAATACCAAATGTAACAAGGCGAAAAGTACTGAATACGTCTTACCGGAACAGGTAATGAGGACGGTTGCTAGCAATCACAGCCACAGGAATATCCAGAGTGGATTCTAATATCTATAATTTGTCACCAAAAAAATAACACCAAATAAGCACATTCATGATTAAAAGAAGTTTCTTACAGAGAGGTTGCGCTTAAAAAATATGGGCGAAGGGTCGTGACAACTACATACACTTCCGTAACCTTCGATATGATTGCAAAATTCTCGACGACGTTCACCCTCCTCCGAGGAACCCCAGTCACATTCGCTATCTGCATTTAAAACATTATTATTGTTATTCTCAGTAAAGATTAGAGCAAGTCAGACAATGGTTAAAAACTGACCCTGTGGTGAGGTGAGAGGTACTTCCGCTGTCACTGATACAGGGGCTCCCCAACTATGAAACTCTGTGCTACGACTGTACTCTTCAACCGCAATGGATGGCTTATTGAGGATACGACTCTTTAAATTTGGATATTGGTCACCAGGACCTGTCCCCTTTTTGGTCACCATCGCCCACATGTCTCTCCATCCTAAATGCTTTGCCTTTTTGGATCCCAATTTTTCTAGAACCTCTCGCGCATTTGCCTTCATTTGGAAAGTGCCCTCATCCTGCAAGAGATATTACTTGTTTTGAAATTTGCGAATACAATGCATCTGTCGAAAACGAACCTTGATTGCGAAAATTAGTATTCGACCAGGAGAGACCATATTCAAGAAAAGTATGAGAGCTTCGTCTTCATGGGGTGAATAAGTGTCAAATATGCGTTGCGCCATCACAGCACCCGTCGCCTCATTCAGCACTACAACATGAATTCCTCGACCCTTGTTCGCCTCATTGTCCTCGATTACCATTGTTCCGTCGACAGCAACGGACACTTTGGACTGACTAGAAGTCACTTCAATGGTTAACGTACGAAAGGAATGTTTTTTCTCAGAACCAGGAACACTGCTGTCAACAGCTTGTTGTAATTTCAAGGGTTGTTTTAACAATTCTGTTAAATTAAGAAAAAACATTTTAGAATTTCTCGGAAACCATACAAATTACGTATTTAGCCAATATCTGACCATTTTCGTTTCCTGTTGGACCATGACCTCGTTGGTGCTGCATATCAAACTGCTCCTGTTGATTTTGGAGGCGTCTTCCCGTCTCGAGAATGAACAACAAATTTAGCCCGATGGTTACAATTAGCACCAAGACTACTGAAATCTGGAATATCGACATAAATCATTCAGTAATGTGCATAAACTACAATTAAGTAATTAACGGTTATTCGGCTCTACCTGAAGTAAATTTTTGCAGTATCTGCGCCTCAATTGGAAAGTTCTAGTGAACATGTTTCTCGTGGGAAGCATCCTTATGAGCTTCTTACACGGAAAATTTCGCATATTAAATTGGTAGTCGACTCCTGATGTTCAGAAACATTAGCTTATTCTCATCTACGGACAATATTTGTCAAATCTGCAATCAGAAAAGTAGGCATGTTTTTTAATACCGTTTTGCTTTGAAATCCTATTTCATCGTACATTTCATAATAATTAATTGATAATGCAAGTTACCAGGAAATGTTGGATCCCAATTGTCATGCATTCTTCGCTTCAGTGATACTTTTACTTAAGCATGTGCCACCAGTGAGAATTTTTTTGGACAGAACAACAAGATGCAACATTTCTTTGTAGAGCAGAAACAACAAAACATGAACAAAGGATGAGTATTCAATTACTCATTCACACAATGACTGATCCCATTCTTTCAGCCAAGTCAAGCAGTGACATGAAATAATTCCATGACTAGAAAATTTTGTAAATGATTGTAAAAGGTTAGTAATACTTTTCACTTCTTAATTAAACAAATCATTTCATTTAGTAACTAATTTCAGTGTTAGTCGCACAAAATTAACAGGATTTTTTCAACGCGTGAATTCTCAGTAGGTTATCACATTGCAAATTTTTGTGCTAACGAGTAAAATATATTTGTCGAGGAGTAATTACAAATCAGCTGAAAAACTGAGTTCCTGGAGAGAACCGGAACTGGAAGTGACTCTTTTTTCCTTACTAACTTGCCCATGTTCTGTGTATCTCTGGATTCTCATTTTATTATGACACCACCTATTTCACAGGCAGAGTGGAGTAAGTAATATGCAATATATATGTAGGAAGTGGTGTTCTTTCCAGCCATATACATAGCCTCTCACCACAATCAGTCATCTACAACAGTACAGAACTTCCGCCAAGCTTTATGCCATGATCGGATTTTATTGGGATTCGTGTTGGAAGTTTCCATGTTTTCCGTTCCTTTCTCTACTACCCGGTTCGGAGTATATCATTTCATAGCAGTCTCTCTCACTCTCTCCTTTGCACACAGGTTTCCATTTCTTGCTTACATGATATGCATGCAAGATTAATCTTCGGCTATAGCGGGTTTCGGAAATAATAATATCCCCGATTTTCCTTGACAGTCGGGGTCCTGTAAATTGAGTTCCTGAAAAATTCTGCCATTTGTTAATTCGGATAGATGATTAGCCTTCCTACTAAACATTGAAAGACAACAGCCTCTTCCTTGCATCTGGTCCAATCTAAACTTATAGGAGGACGAGATATTCGTTACGCAATAAGAATCACTATACTGGACATGATGCAATTGTCTTGAATATTGATTAAATATCTTCCCCGAAACCTACAACGTAATTCTATCAACGTAAACGTGACCGTAAGCTATGCAGCTATAGCTAAACAGGTAAGTAGTGGTAATTTTGTAGACTAAGATCACAATTTATCTAATTTGGAAAAATGCATATATTTATTAGTCATCGCTCCCGTTTGCGGATGAGCTCATGGCTAAAAATGCTGAGGAAGCCAGCCGATCTGGAGATTCTCACCAGTCCTTCCTCCAAGAAGGGGGTCAAGGGGCATCTTCCTCAACATCCTCGGAGGAAACGGGTCGTGGAGAGTACTTGATTGATGATGACGTCTTAGTTTTTGCAAATACGGCCGTCTTAGATGGTCCGTTATCAAATAGTACGACATCCTCGTCCGAGGTTGACGATCATGACGATCATCAAGACCAATCCTCGACTAATTTTCAACATCCGTCATCATCGTCACCACCACTTCCACCGGGGTCGCCTTCATGCTCGTCTTCTGACGTCGTCCCAATGACCATTGACACCTGCGAGGATTTGTGGACACGGTTGCATGATATCCAGATAAATGGATGTGTGAGTTGGATTAGTTGAACAATGCTACATAACAATAGTTTTAGTACTAATGTCCATGCTATTATTAGATTCTAGAGTACGTTGGTAGAGGAAAAAGCATATACGATAATGGCTTAGCCCAGTCCTGCACACCGTTGACCCCAATGAACCACTACTACGAAGTGACCATTATTCACCCAGGGGAAAGCTGTTACATTGCCATTGGACTGGCAAGAAAAGTAAGGAATTATGACACGTATTTTTAAATAGTGTTTGTAATTGTTTGTGTCAATAACAAAGGATTATCCATCCCACAAACACCCAGGATGGAATCGAGGGTCAATTGCGTATCATGCGGATGATGGGAAAATATTTATCGGGAGTACGTTTCAATTGATTTCTGACGTATTGATTTTGAGGTCAAGTTCTTGAATAATAATAGCGGACTACATTTTAGGTGGCATTGGTACTCCATTTGGACCAAAATGTCATTCTAATGATGTACTGGGTTGTGGAATCGTGTTCCCGTCCCATCTACACAACTCTCGTCCTAATCTAGCAAAGTAAGTCCACAAGTACAACTTGCTTTCTGAAATACAATTAGTTCTTGCGAGTCAATCCGTTCATTGTGGAACAAATTTTTGCAGAGATCAACCAGAGGAGGTGACAGAGGAAGAATCAGCGTCGTCCGAGTGGCCTTGGGAAAAGAATGCAATAGCTAAAAGTAGTTTTCCTAGATCCGAAAGTCCGAGTGGGGGTTACATGGACAATATTTTAGAAGCAAGCAGCGAGAGTGAGGATGACATTTGGTGGAATAACAAGAATCAAGTGTACGAAGATAAAGTTCAGGTACGAATTTGACTTGTGATTAAATATTCAATTTTATCAAGGATTTTGCAACATTTAAATTCCAGGTATTTTTTATGCGCAACTGTAAACTGCTCGGGATGAAGGAGATTCGAATACCAAAAGGTGGTTTCTATCCAACAATCGGGATGATGAGTCGAAATGAAAAACTAATGATTGACATGAACCCACTCACTGGTTGAAGTAATTTATGTATACATAAATATCTAGTGTAGAGTACAACTGATGGACTTGAGATGGTGACAAAGTTGATTAATACTGATGATACCGCCATATACGTTTTATACCGGTTTTGATGTACGATAAGTTAATTAGTAAGTATGCGATAAGTAAATATAAGTTATGGTAATATATTTAGCAGACGTAGCACGTGCCTATGCACAACGAAGAATAACGACGCTAATAATGTAAAACGTTCCTTGGAGATGTACTTAACTATGCAAACTCTGCTTTATTATAATAGCTTTCCAAGTGTCATAAATCAGTATAAGACAATGAGAGTGGTGGAATAATGACATTTGAAATACTTGTCTTATTGACAATAAGTTCTGTGATAATAAATTGTGATGCTTTTGAATCGAAATAATTAAACATCCTATGTATTCTGCACTAAAATATTTATTTTGAATTTCTATATCACAAAATAATGTAATACAAGTTACTTGAAAGACTATATATTATTTCTACACCATAGAATAACTTATTGTGGTGTGTAGAACAGAAATCAACAATATTATTCATTGTTTCTGCAAGTAAAACTTTGCATAATAAACGCCCACCATTGAAACAAATACCCCAACGGCGATTCCGAATTTTAGCATTGACGACGAACCCTCATGTCCACGAGTTTCACTATTGCTGGGAACATTGGAAGAAGAGGAATATGGAGTGGATAAAGCTGGTGAAGAAGGAACAGATTTCTCAGACGGTTGGCTAGAAATAATGAGGTTAAAAATTAATCTATAATTTAGGAGATTGCTATATATATGACTTGAAGTAATTACTGTTTTTTTTAAATATGCACTGTTTTTGCGAATTTATAAAAAATTACATAATTACTGGTGGATTTTACTCTCATGTCGTTGGTTATGATTGCCCACTTTTTAAAAATTCTTGCAATGCATGAAAAATTACCTTATGCAAGAACAGTGCGTATTAAAAAAACAGACAGTAGTTTAAGTACCATTTGCCATCATTGCTTTGAGGAACATCATTGTCCATTTCTGATAATAATTTGTCCTTGTTAACCATTTCTACGGATTGTTCCATCTCATCCTTTATTGATATAGGGGTTTGAACTGATGGATTCGGTGGTTCAAAATTTTTGTCATCGATTGCATTACAATTGACATTTAAATCGCTGCTTCCCTCTTCTATAGAAATTATTGGTGGTGACACAAGCGTTTCTTTTGGTTTCACAATATTTCCATCATCCCTGAAAATATCACTTGTATCCGAACCAGTAATTAGTTTTGGCACGTCTTTATTGTTCGGTGTCATTGTTTCGCTTTGCAAACTGTGACGATTGTCGTCAACGTTATGACTTTGGAGATATCTTGGATCGTCTACTTCCTTCTTGTGCAGGGTTAGTAAAATCTGATCATAGTTGCGCTCTTTCGCAAGTTGAGATGCCTACAAACAATCAATCAAAATTCAATAACTAAATCTGCAAAGTAACACAAACTCCTCTAACCGTGCGACCACTGTTGTCCGTGGCGTCCAGATCAGCCCCATGAAACACCAACAGATCCACGACCGGAACTCGGTTATCTTTGACAGCCAGCAGCAATGGCGTCAGACCGTCCTCACTCCGACAACTCACATCTGCACCAGCGTCAACTAAAAGTTGAGCACATTGTTGGACAAGGACACGACTCCGAGACGAAGTTAATGCTGCCATCAGTGGGGAAAATCCATCTTTCACCAAGAATATATTTTTTAGTTGTAATAATTTTGGTTTTATATGCATCCGAAACTCACCCGTTCGACACCTATTTGGATCAGCTCCTTGTAACAGTAGAAATTTGACCACAGGTGGGTTTGCCCCATTAACAGCGACCATGAGAGGAGTCCATCCATCCTCAAAAAGATCGTTTATCTTTTCAACATTTCCTACAACAAAAATCAATCAGCAAAATCAATCATTACTCGTCACATCACAACTCATGATAAGGCCTTGCTCCGAGGGGCATTACCTCTAATCAAGGTCTCGAGCGAGGTGAGATCTCCTTTGAGACAAGCCAACCGGATCTCGTCCTGTCGGCTTTGAGACCGCAGCAGTGGCATGTTTGTCCGCCGCCTGGATGGTGTAATTGGTCTTTCGGACACTGATTCGTCTTCCGATGACATTTTGCATAAACAAAATATTAATTGGCACAAAGAACTGAATAAACAAACACTTAAAGCCTATTTAAAATATCAAATCTCTTGTTTGTGCAACAACTTCATAAAACTGCCGGATGGATTATGTATCGGATCTCTTTTGGCTCGGATGTTTCTTCTGTTGCACATCTCATTCCTCAGTTTCAGATGCCGATGTCAAGAAAAATGCTATTTCTGGACGACCTTATATCACATGCATCCCTACCAGTCTCGATCATCTCTGCCATATCACGTCTCAAAATGTGTATCCTAAAGCAGGAAACAATGCACGCATTTCTCATTCCCGTTTCATCGAACGTATTCTAATGTATTCACCTATTGAAGCTAAAAATAACTCAATGTCGCTTGACCAATGTGCTTAAGTCTGAAATGTTCAGCATTAACAAGCTTGTAGATTACTTCTTACCAAAATAGAAAGCAATTTATTATTCTAAAAAAATGCAACATGTTTAAAAGCAGAAATCACGTAGGGGAGCTATGCATTTCCCGTTTTGAATAATTTCTCGGCTATTGATTATGACTTAATCATAACAATAGTCGGGGTGGGTATAGAAAGGAAACAATTAAAATATTTAAAATATCTAGAAACTTGACTGATTATCATAATAATATATACACAAATATCAACACAAATATTTATATTTGTGTTGATAATCCTTCCTTCAAACATAAATGTCTATGAAATTGCGTCGTAAAAATACATGGATGCATGATTAAATATTAATTAAATATTTGTTTTTAAATTTTATACTATTAATTAAATATGTATTACATTTTGTATAGTGACAAATGACAAAGGTCGAAAATTCAAAAGCCATATCTGATTTTTTGGTAATTCAGGACGAAGTCGTGAGAGAGAGTGCCCCCTTTTGCATTTATGAAATAATCCAAAATCTAGGCAACGAGTTCATTTGCGAAAAACCGAAAAAGAAGACAAAATTTGACAGTCACTCATCAGCCGTCCACCTGAAGAGCCAGTCGCACTCGCAGGTCACTCCTCTCCTCTCCAGCAGCTGCCTTGCCTTCCTTCTCCACCATCACTTGTCATCGTTCGAAATCGCATTTATTTGCGAAATCACAATGATTTCTGCGGCTCGTAGCTTATCCACGAATATCATTGTTCAAGAAAATGAAATCGAGCCGACTGCATGTGAAGATAAGAAATCCGGTAAGGGAATTATTTTATTATTTATTTTTATGTTTTTTTCTTCTTCGCTCCCACCACCATCATCCTCATTCACATACATATTTAGTATTGATATTATTTGATATGCGTCTTATGAATAATTGAAACTTTTAAATTTATTTGGTTTCGATTTCAAAAAATTAATATGCGCATATTTTTCATACTATTTTTTTCTTCGTGTTTTCCATCATAGTTTAGGACAAGTAGACGAAATGAGTTTGTAAAGATTAGAGTCGTCTTCTTCTTCTGAGGAAGAGAAAAGCTTCAATTTCTTTCTCTTATTTTCTCCGGACCTGTTCGGCTGGCTGGCTCGATCATATTCATCCACAACTTTCACTTTATCCTCTCTCTTCTCGTCTGATCCACTTTCCCACCACCACCACCACAGCTTTCCACTACCCTAGCCTTTTATTTTCTCCTTCAGTCCCAGACCTGCTGGGTCCAGTGACTGTCCTGCTCGCCCTCGTCGTTGTCGTCGTTCCCTTGTCCTGACAAATTTAGTCCAAATAAATATTCCAACTCTCATCCATCTACATAAAGATTGTTGCATAATAAAACGAAGGCAGTCATGGATTATCTCCATTCATTCGTCCTCTTCATAACCATGTTCAAATCCTGATTGATTGTTATTGAGCTATCATCATCATCATTGCTAGTATACGAGCGTGATTAATTAGTAGTTTGATCGCTACTACTATTTCCTACAATTGAGTCCCCTGTGAAAATCAACTCAATGTACCTGAGTGACCAGGAGTTGGAACTGTCTCCACAGTCTCGCCTGATCTTGGCAGGTATGGAAAATCGTCGCTATTTATTTGTTACGTAGTAGTAGAAAATGTATAGTATAAAATATAGTATTTACGTATGTATATGCATATAGATACATGCATTTCTTTATGGAAAATGATGCATAATATTAGACAGAGAGCCTTCTGAATCAGAAGTTCTGATTGATGCCTTGCTGGCTGGGTTGATGATGTTACGTATTAATGAATCATTTAATAGCTGTTACGACGGTGATGATCTAGGCTTTCTAAGCTCGCAATTAAACACAGGAATGGTTTAGAGCTTTCAATCAGTTTTACGATATTTTTATGACTGGTCATATTATTTCTGACGAATATTACTCACGTAGAAGAGGAATTATTAGCAGAATAAGTCATAAGCTATAATAGGAAGACGTTTCGGTTGCTCGTAGTGTTGTATGAATGAATATCATGTAGTAATAAAAAGTGAATGTTGACTCTTCACACAACAACTACATGCATCCATGCTTCTGCTTACACGGGTTTATTGCAATATCCATGCTTTACATGCATCTTACACATATTTCCTTATGCACAACTTGGACAACGGCGTTTGCACATTGTATTCGTGTTACAAGCAAGCGGTGAATTCCCAATCTTTTACTTGTGCAAAACCAGGCTTCGTTATGATCGTCATATTTCTTGGGAACCAATTTTGCACACGAAATTTACTCAAACCACCATCATCATCATCATCGTAATACTTGTTCCCGAGCCATGCGAAACTGAAATTTATGAAGACGGTACTTCATTTTTGCTCTCAGTTCTTAAATTTTGCTGAGATTTGGTAGCCTGCGTATTCCACCACATGCCTTTCCTCATTGACGGACGGACTTCTTTCTACATAAGTAAATAGGGTTGCTTGCCTCGCTAATGAAATACTTTGGAGTTGTGCTTTAGGAAATTTTCCATCGTCCGGATAAAGTGCCAGCTTGTTCCGGGAATCATCATCTCCAGTAGTTGTTGGCTGATAAGGGAGGGAATTAAAAAGGTTAGAGTTACAAGTCGTAAAATGGACAGATTGAAGAGTCCGACATTCATCGAAATCCAAAATTCAAGTCTAAAGTTCGTAGTACGGAATTTTAATTACTCTCGTTCATTCTGCCGTCGATTTTGATTTCTTTCTCTGGAGACTTACTTAATTACCAGTGAACCACTGAACTGTAGACGGCTGCGACCACATTGATCCTTGTTGTATAATGGAAAATCATGCACCGACTGACAACCACATCGCAAAATTTATATAAAACCAGCATTGCCGAGAATACCTTTTTCATACCTCGTTCAGTAGACTCGTCGTTGAACGAGTACATACACATGTGATGGCACGGGGCAAATATTTGATACCAATTGTCATGCATAATGGGCATATGTCTGCTTATTGATTGGGACGAGTTTGCAGTAGTTCATAAAACTCAAGTGATTAGAGAGAAAGAGAGAAAATGGTTCGGCTGGGCTAGTCAGTCTCGTACAGCATATGCACATAAGCAGGAGTAATAATAATAATAATGTCATAACGTGTGTTAACTTTAATCAGCCTCGCTGGATTCAAATCTCTCACTGGAGATAAAACAAGCTGTGTGCTGATGAAGTTACAATTGGAAAGCTGACATTAACTCTCGACTTGAATTTTGATACCATCATCAGCCAGTCTCTGTCTCTCTGTCGCTGTTAATGTCTCCCACTGTTGTTAAATTTGTGCGAGTTATCCATATTCATCGATTAGTGATTAGTGTTCAGAGTTGTGTAATATTCTAGTGTTATCACCACATGTCCATTGTTATTTGTTGGACGTCCATCAACTAACGAGAAATTACAGCACCAATTACACATCATTCGTATGTCTTGGCACTGATGTCGTCAAGTGAATTCAGTGAATAGATGTCTTATTAAGCTTTGTACAGAAAACAACAGTAAATAAGAGTTGCATGAGCAGTCTTCTTTCTCCAACGTGACTCCTCAATGGCTTTGTCTTGGTAGCTGTGATAAGAGTTGTCAATGCAGTGCATGCATCACTGAACAGAGAGACCAACAGTAGCTGTTGGTCTGTATTATAAGATTTACATAAAATTAGTAACTGGAAACGAATTCAGGTTAGTTTTATTTACATTCGAGTTGATGATAGTTTTGTGTTTGGTTATTGTTTTGCAATTACAAAATTCCAAGTAAACAGCGACCAGGGCAGGTAACCTCAGCTCTATTAGGCGTATATGCATATGCGTAGTTTGGATTTTCAAAACATAATTGTCAATGACACCAAGATATTTTAGATGACGACTTTTGTGCATGCATGAATACTTAAATTCTGTATAACCCTCACTAATAGTAGGCATACATACATACGTAATAATAAGGTTTGGTCATCACGAAAGAATCCCAACAACATATTATTTTCTTATCATCACTCGCACACAAAGTTTCTAGGCCGCTTACGAAAATCAAATCATTCACCCAATGATATATATTTTATGGATTCTCAGACCTTATTTATTTCTGAGCTTATAAAACTACTGCCTGGCATAAAGACAAGAGAGGTTGTGTAATATATGTAGGAAAAGAGCATCACATCTCTCACCCACCATATTTCTTTCTGTATATCATCATGAATGCATTGCATTGGATGCATATGTATATGCATATGTTATAATACATAAGTATTTAAAACCCTTGGGAAAAGAAGTTGCAGCATTCAGCAGGAGGATAGAGATATGTGTATAAGTAGTTGTCAGTGTAGTGGAAGTAGTAGTATTTTCTCTGCAGTAGTAGTTCTCTCGTAATGGCAAAAATACTTACTACATCTGTAAGAAGACAATCGCAAGACGTTTCCCGTTGTGTTTTGTTAGTGGACTTCCTCATCTAATCCATTCCCTGCAACCCATTCTGCTCATGATAAAACACACATTGAACTCTTGTTTTAGAAAACCTCTTCCCAACCCTTTCGGTTGACTGAATCACCTCTCATCATCATTTCAATTATCACAACTGACTGCTACTCATTCACTATTAAGTACTCCGTGGTTGGTTGTGCCGTGTTTTTTATGTCCATCCAGCCTGGTAGAATAATTTGCTCTTGTCAGTCAAACGACGAGTTTAGGTTATGTATGCTATGAAGTTGGTTAGTATTACGAGTTATTGGAATTTGTTGGGATAAATATAACCTATAGGTTTTTGCACACTATAATTGCTCTTTTACTCAATCTAGTCAGTCACCCTTGTCCTTTCGATTCGATTCAACATTGTCGTAATAATAGCGGTGTGGACGAATTTAGAAAACTGCCTGAAAGTTCTAATTTATTATCTCTTTCTCTCTCATGTAGTGATGAACAGAGTTTGACATTAAACAATTTTTTTATCCGCGTCGCGTTCGCGTCGAGTGGTTGTGCCTTTTTGAAGTGCAAGAAGATTCGTGCAATTTAGGATAATGTTTAACAATAAGAAGGTTGAGGAGGGTTCCGTAATGATAAGGCCTTATCAGGCGCTGTCAAGAGAGGTTGATGCAGGAGAGTTGTCAAAGAATCGGACCTTTCTTGAGAGGAGACGGGTGCGGAAAGCGTCGTCGTCCTCGTCAGACGAACTTAATAAAGGTCAATGTTTATTTGTATTTTATGTTTTATTATCAATTATTTGCAATTTATAACCTCCCGCAGTTGGAATGTTTGCATTGGATGTTTGGAGCAAAATATTATAATTCTTTTGAGGCCATCACTGTGTATCACTTTTTCTTACAAGAAAGACAGGCACTTGATAAAATATATACTCGAGTTCTTATTAAGTTACGTGAAACATTGTGATGTCATTTATATGACTATGTCATATTGTACGTTCAAGTGGATAACTAATAAAAATCGACCTTTAAATTACAATAAACTCATTTTTGTTGTTGCAGGACACACGAAAGTCATGGGGACGTCTCAAGGGAACAGATCTAGGCTTATGGCCATGCTCCTGATGACTTTCGTTTTTTTCCTGGTCGAAATTGTTGTGGGCTATCTGACCAACTCGATGGCGCTTGTGGCCGACAGTTTTCACATGCTGAGTGATGTAGCAGCATTGGTTGTAGCGTTTGTCTCTGTGAAGGTAAGTTCAAAACAGAGAGTAGATTATGAGTTAGGATATGATGCTAATAATGTTTCTCCTATTATGTCAGATGTCCCCCAAGAAATGGTCAAAAAACACCTTTGGCTGGGCAAGAGCAGAAGTACTAGGAGCACTAGTCAACGCAGTGTTTTTGGTCGCTTTGTGTTTCTCCATTCTGGTTGAATCTATTAAACGGTAATTTTTATTCGTATCAAGATGAGTTTTTGCATAAATTGGGTGTAAATGCATGTGTACATTTGTTTATAATAGATTTATCCACAAGGAGGATATCGATCGGCCTGTATTGATCCTTGTGGTAGGCGTCCTTGGTTTGCTTGTGAATCTAGTCGGCCTTTGCATCTTCCGACGTAAGTGGGATTGGTCTGTTATCTTATTTTATTAAATAATTTAATTTAATTTAATCCGTGACCGTTTACAGACCATCACGGTGGAGGTGGACATTCGCATTCACATTCACACCATCATCACTCAATTAAACACCAGTCCAGATTATCTCGGATTGTGGCAACCGATGATAATGAAAACGACGAAAGGGTTACTTCACCAGAGGAAGCTCCATCACAACCGGATTCACCAAATGACCCCAAATCTGCAAGTGCTTCACAGGTTCGAGTCGTTTGAATATTTTATGATACATATTTAAAACATCATACAACTTTCAAGTTTAAAATATTTTAATAGATGAACATGAGAGGGGTCTTTCTTCACCTTATGGCTGATGCTCTAGGTTAGTGCTTTGTCGGCCATTGGTCTGAAAAGGAAATAAAGACCTATTCTATTGCTTTAGGTTCCGTGATCGTTGTCATCTCGGCCTTGATAATTTGGCTCACTGACTGGGAATTTAGAATGTATGTTGACCCCATGCTAAGTGTTGTGATGGTAGTTATAATCTTATCGTCCGTCTGGCCACTCTGTAAGTTTATATCTCTCATAATTAAATCAACATTTAAATAATGCATGAATGAAGCTATGATTGTTCTTAAATTTATCTTTATAGTGCAAGAGTCTGCGATGATCCTTCTTCAAACGGTCCCTACTCACATTCAGATAGATGATCTTCAAAGGAAATTGGTCCGTGAGGTTGAAGGGGTCATTGCAGTCCATGAGTTCCATATTTGGCAGCTTGCCGGTGATCGAATCATTGCTTCCGCTCATATTCAGTAATTTGATATAAATAATTAATAATTCAAAGTCCTACCTTATCGTATGTATACGCATGTATGCATAAGTTTAAAATAAATTGCAATAATTGTAGGTGTCGAAATCTAGCTGATTACATTAGGATTGCTGAGAAAGTCAAGGTTTTCTTTCATAACGAAGGAATCCATTCGACCACAATCCAACCAGAATTTGTTGAGGTAACTAAAACTAAAAATCATGTATTTCTTTGTAGTACTACTTTTAATCGTACAACTACCTATTATTTAATACATTTTTTAACTATAGCACTACCCCGATGCCCTCAACACCAATAACTCAGACTGCTTCTTGTCCTGCCCTCCTGACTTAACCACGGATGTAAGAACTTATATTTCCGTAGTAAATGTTTCAGTTTAAAAAGAGCAGTGTCAATGAACTCCAGGCGCATCAGATTTTGATGTGATGGTAACAATGATGGTGACAATGAAATATTATAACAAAACTCTTCCTTCTCATACACAGAATCCTCATGCCGGACCAGGATGTGCAGCCAACACCTGCTGTGGACCTCAACGGGTTGGTAATTCCGACGTGGTTGATAGTGAAGGAGATTTACTTATTGTTACCGGCAATAATTCGTGTTAACATTTAGGATAGTAGTTTTCTTAATTAATTTAAAACAAGGTCTTATCTTCATCACATACAGATCCTGGAGGACAAGAATTGGTTAACCAAAACCAATCATCAACGCATGCGTTAGGATCTAGAAAACGTGTTGCTTAAGATTAACTGAATTTTTTAATTCGCGTCGTCTCTCTTTTGTTTGCTTCCTTAAAATGACGCGTCTTCGTTTTTCATTATTATCATGCTGGATGTTTAATGATCTCACCTTGTAAGCACACTGCTTTGTCTACCCAGCCCAAAAATTACTAGTTACTTTTGCAGTCCAACCCAAATCAGTCATAGCAGTGGTCTTGTCTATTATGTTTTTGGTTGTATTATTGTTGTTTGATAATTTCGTGCATGTATTTATGGCTGATTGTTAATTCATATTTATTGAATTCGGCTATTAAAATAAACCCTGGATTAATTATAATGGTAAATTCGAAAGCTTTACTCTGGTAATTGGTTTCTATAATACTTGGTAATTTGGTATACAATTATTTACTATTGTTTGTTTTTCTACGCTATCTGCAGCTCATGGCATTGCAAAAAGTAGTTGGTGTTTTAATAGTTGAGTGTGGAGTTGTTATTGCTGACGTAATTTCACGAATTTTCTCCAGGGTGCCCATCGTCTTGAAGTGGCTTGGAAAATTTGTGAATGAATGTGAGTGAAATTTAGAGTGAGTGATGGATGTGGTTATTATTTCATAGTATTTCATAGCTTTGAACGAAAACGCTATAAATTATGAATTATCAGTAAAACGAACCTTTCGACTTTATCCAGAGCCAGATTGCTCGAAATTAAACATAAATGCTAACATGAACAACTCATATACAATAATGTGAGATAATGTTTGTCTTCGTATTAGATAGAGAACTAAGGAATAATTAAAGGCCGGTAGAAAGTATCGATAATAATATTTAAGTACCGAGTGACCAGTCCATATTCACTACTTGGCTGCTGCAAAAAAAACAGTCTCATAATCGTATTATTACATACCTTATGTCTTAAACTGCCTGTCTATGTATTGACATTGACACCACATAACATGCATGCATGGAGGGCAAATAAATAATTTGTAGAGAATACGAACCAGTAAAAATTATAATTCGTTATTGATAACAAGGCATGGAAAGTTTTGTATTTTTACATGACGGTGATGATATGATAACATTTTAGGCTTGTGATGTGTTAGAAATGTATAATTTAGAAATATCTGTACATCTTTGTCATGGTCTACAGTTAATATCTGTGACAATCCTGTATCGAAAAGAAAATCTAATAAAAAACAATGAATATCTGAGGAATGTTTTTTCATAATTATTTCGAAAGTGCGTCCTCTTTGTTAAAAAAGGAAACATCAAACAAGCATTCGGATTTGGACCAAGGATTTTAATCCCAAGGTAATCTCTAATCAAAGGGAAGCCTTCATTCATATTTTTATAGATTTAGATAGAAGATCAGAGCACTATGCGAGTAATTGCATCATGTTTTTTTTAATATTTCGAACATATTTTTTTATTTCTGAAAATTACGTTTCAATAAAATAAGTAATAAATTTGCGATACATTGCAATTTTTCATGACATAGGAAACTACACAAGTTATATTTTATAAGGACTGATTCACAAAGTAATTTTGTTTTTCTTAAACAACTATCACCCAACACAGATTGTTAAAGAGATTGTGCCTCTCTCTTCCTTCCTCCCTCCGTTTTACTCAAGTATTACATAAATTTGAATCGTGATATGAAACTGACTTGGAACCTAGCTCCAAAACTATTAAATACATTTACATGAGATCTCTAACTGCTTTTCACATAACATTTTTTAATTATGTATAATTTTGCGCTATATTTATATATAAAATATTCATCAAGTATACTATTTCTGTATATTCATTCTTCTATGTGACTTTGATAACAACAAGGTATGAGCACAATTAGAAACGCCAATTGTTGAGTAACAAATAAGCACGAAGACAATGATGGGATTAAGGATTATCATTATAATTAGTAACAATAGTAATAAGGATTCTTCTGTAATTAAGATCGCGATTCAGCCATTGGAGAATTTTTAAGTCCTTGTTGTTGTTGTTGGTCCATCACGTTGTCCTCCACGAGCAACATTTTTTCAACCATTTTTCCAACCAGCTCACTCCGACTCATTGTGTCTCCGTCGGCCCAACTGGGGGCGGGGGAGTTTCCGACGGAGAGAAGCGGTTCCGATTCGTCATCCTCATCCGAAAGTTGTCCTTTCATAGAACAAGAAGCGCTCATGTTGCCATCCTCAGAAGTCAAATAATCTGCTTCCCCATTTATACTTAAATTATCTGGTGGCATCATTGGACTGAACTCTGCATCTTCCTTCTCATTTTCATTGTCAAAATCTCGTTTCTCTTCTTCTTCATTGATTTCACATGTTGCAGTGGAGGGGGACGTTGGCGGTAGGGAGGTGGTGGGGTTTGGAGGAGTTTCTTCTTCACCTAATCCAGCAACATCAGGTATCTCACCTTCTGTATTTGTATCGTAATAGGCTTTGGCCCATGCGATAACTGAAGAAATTGACTGATTAATAGTGTCAACTTCCAAAGGGTCGATTACCGTATTTTGTGCTTGACCGCCTTGACCTTCCTCTTCTTCGGAGGGTTTAATAGGATTTGACATCACAGTAGCTGCAGCAGCAGTCATAGCAATCATTGTTTTTCGAACTACAATTGCATGTTCAGCTTTCGCTTTGGAGGATCGCTCGCGACGTTTCGCTTTTGGACGACTTAAAGGTGAAACGTTGTCGTTGACTTGCTGTTCTAAAGGGTCTAAAACTATGGCGGAAGCGTTATTTTGTTCTTGTAGTTGCTGGGGTTGCTCTTCTTCTTGCTCTTGGGAGATTGGAGCAGCGGAATTTACTTTACGTTTACTAGCAGATTTCCGAGATGTCTTCTGCCAGTGGTTCGTAGTCGCGGTGGTGGTAGTCGTCGTCGTAGTCTCTGTTGTCGTAGAAGTAGCTCTTGATGTTCTCACAACTTTGTACTGAGGATCTAGAGTAGTATCATGATTTGGAGAGGGGTTGTACGACAGGTCGTTGTTGTTTTTGATCACGAGTGGAGTTTGCTGATCAACTTTCTCCGTCTTTAATGTTGGACATACTGCTCCAACAGACTGGTGCGAAATCAATAGGGCATTTTCCTCATCTTCCTTGTTACCATGATTTCTTGTTTCTGTCACATTATGCAAAAGACAAAATTCACACGGTGTGTCAACGCAAATGTGGGCATCACTAGCTACGTTCAGAACGGGAAGGCGTCTTCGTGTATAAGTTCGTAACATCCTGGGTTTAAGTTTATTTTGCCATCTAATGGCCGATTGTTTCGGTTGTGGAGAAGATTGTGGGGTTGTTCTACTACTTCGAGTGACGGGGGTTGTTGGAGCTGAAACTGTTACAGTAGCTCGAGTTTTTGGCTCGTCAGAAGACCTCCGCATGTTCAGTCGAACTCGTGCAATCCGTACAGCTTTGCCTTGTCCGCCACCTCCATTGTACATTTTTGCTTTTGGACTAACAGCTTCAATCTGTTTTCTGGAAGATCCGAAATTTCTAAATTGGTTATTTTTGTTTGCACTAGTATATCTTTCGACATCGGAAGTAGAGTTTGAGCGTTTGACTTTGGAATTGCGAGTAGAGTTGGTCGTCGTCGTTGGCAATTGGAATAAACTATCGTGTCCTTCCTTCTCCTCGTCGTCTTCCTCATCTGCTCCTTCATCTTCAAGCTTAATTTCACCGTCAGGGGCCTTGGCTGGACTTTGCATGATGGAAGGAGGAGGCCTTGAAGTTCTAGTTTGGATTCTGACTCTTTGCGAAGTATTCGCAGCTTGAACACACTTTGGACAAATGGGCAATCGATGAGGGGTCGGAGCATTACTTGCCGTAACCCTGATACATTCAGCATGAAATTTGGTGGTGCATGTTTCACAGGAGAGGTCAAAATCTGTAAATTGAAGTCATCAGTTAAAGTCGGTTTCAGTTAAGACGGGAGCTAAGTATGTGTTTAATGCTTACCAGTTCCGTAGCAAACAAAACATGATGGAATTGGCATTGCAATAGGTGGAGGGCAGGAAGGAGTAGCTGATATGAAATTGGAGGAACTGGAAGAACTTGTAGCATCGTTGGAAACTGCTTCAAGACGTTTTGATCTTCTAATTGACTGAAATCAGACGCAATAACAGGAAATTGAGCATACACGCATACACGATATAATACAGATACTATTACTATATTACATATAGATGTATATTCAAACGCTATGCTACCAAATTAAGTCAAGACATAAATAGTTGTAGTTGTATAGATAGAGAAAAGCTTTTTACCAAGTCGTCAAATTTCAAAAATCCATTTGAGCTGTACTTGGGATTTGTGTTTGCTGTGCGTCGACGTCTCTCCACCTTCCCACTTTGCAATTTCTTCATCTGGAGTGCTTCTTGTGACATGAGACCAAGACCATCAAGAAAATCATCCTTTTTCACGAGAGTTGAGGGATGAACGGAATCTTCTTCTGTTTTCTTAGTTGGTGAGGATGACAATTTTCTCCCACCTTGTTGCGAAGGTTTCCTACAATTAAGGAGAAAGCATAAATCATCATGCATTATATAACAGTCCATTTCATATACTAACAAATTTTGAGAAATAAGATTTTACCCGAGACCAAGAGCCAATTGTTCTGGAGATATGCTCCCTAGTTTGATTTCATGTTTCTGTAATTGCATAAAAATATAAAAAATACCATTACTCTCATCATAATATCATGAATTAATCAAGCATTGTTATGATCTTAAATTTACCATATATCTATCCACCGAACGTATTTGTGAGTGTAGCCTGTCCAACTCTTGCTCGAGGGATAAGCCCTAGAATCATACAAACAAAATAGGGTTAAACTTGTTTAGTTTAGTCAATAGTTTTTTACAGACCTCCTTTCATTACTTTCATTGAAATTATAAAAGTAAAAAGTTTGTTCCTTTTGGCCACAACATAATTTATAATAGTAAACAATATAATTCAAGGGAGTAGGAGGCCTAGTACAATAGGTTTTTCTATTTTTCTTTTACAGCCGCCCTACCCACGGACCAAGGAGGCAAAAACGGTCTAAGATATAATTAATGTTTATTTAATTAAAAAAAAATTTTGTAAGGTGACGTCGTGAAATTCAATGCTACCATGCTGTCTCCAAACTTTCTCATCTCAGATCTTCACTGACAGTCGACAGTACTGTCAGGACACTCCCACGAACCACACCCATTGTCTCCAATTACCCCAAAAGTGTGATATTTCATCCCAGGGGCAGGTTATCTTAAATAAGTTAGGCACGTTAGCACGTACGGAAAGCGTAATTGTCTCTAGATAGCCAACCAGCGTTTTGCTAGCTAGCGACAACTAGGTTAGCTAGCTATATAGTTGGGGACAATTACGTTTTCCGCAAACCAAGTTGTACCTAACTTATTTAAGACAAGATATTTAAGATAACCTATCCCTGGGGTGAAATGTATGATTTTTGGGGAAATATGAGACTTGGGGTATTAGCGACAGGGGGTGTGGTCCGTGGGAATGCTTGGACGCTGAAGGAGACTGGTCTGAAGAAAAAAAACCTTGAGTAATGTTATCAACTAGGAAAAAAACTCGCGTCCTAGTTACTCCAACCCAAAATAGGACTTGTAAGTACCCAACTTAGGAAGAAAGTTTGTCATCCATAATTTAATTACACACAATTTAACAATAACCCAATTTCCATCATATGATTCGAACAATAAACAATTTTCCTCACCAGTTGAGATTGACCCTGAGGAAGTTGTGTGATTTGCTGGAGGATGATCTGTTGATAAAATGGTAAACATTAGCATCCATCCATATACAATATAGAAAATACACCGATATTATCCCAGTACCCAGAGCTTACTTTTAAAAAGTAAGCTCCGGATGCACATAGGCACATCAATTTAATCCACATTTAACAATTTAAGCCAATAATGGTAATAAGTTTATGACAAAACGTCCACCTAATATATCGTCTCATTCCGGAATGAGACGATATATTTTCCTCATAGAGAATATTATTTTGATAACAACAAAACTCAATACCTTGTATTGTTCGGTGAGGGAGATAAGGTTCTTCTGAAGACTGAGAATCCTAATTTCCGACTCCTTCGACACGGTCAATTTTTCCCTTCCGTTAAACATGATTGCAATTTTAATTTACTTTTACACTGTCGACTACTAGTTGAGGCTGTTGAGGACCTCGAATTGAGTTAAAATTGTGGGCAAATTCCCGACGGCGTGCGCCCTCTTTCACACGAAGGGAAACCTGAGGAGCCGCGGAACCAAGTTAACGAGAGAGAGCGAGGAATTCCCCGCATTCGTTTAATCTCCGTCATAGACACGAGTTGATCGCTCCATTTCTTGCACTTCCTATAATAATTTTAACAAACTTCTTAAAGTCGAGGTCAAGGGCACAGTGTCCGACAGGGTGGAAAGAGTGGTTCCTGCGAACATGGCGAAACGGAAGGCATCCTCTCCCCTCGAAGTGCTTAACGGGGATGATGATAAACACGGAAGCTCTTCCACTTCTTCACCCTCATCAGTTCGAAGTAGACCGTCGGAATCTTCTTCAGCATCCACTCCGAAGCGGTCCCTGGGGGGTAGTGGTGGTGGTGGTGGTGGTCTTGGCGGATCCAGCAGTTTTCTTCCATTCGGCACGCCAGAAATCAAGCCACAATTTACAAAATTAGATGTACAAGTTTCTGAAAAAATGACTAAAGTAAACGAATCTTTTTTGAACTCGTTGGCCGTAACGTTAAGTGACGAGCCGGACGCGGTCCTCTTCCCCGCGGTGGAATCATACGTGAGGCATGTTCACACCATATTGACGCCACATTTACCAAAATATATAACCGTGTTGGAGAAAGATAAAGGATTCGTTAGCATTGCAAGATTCCTGGACAGATTTAAAAGTTCTGTTGGACGAATGAGTGATAGTGGTAGTTGTGGGGGGGATGGAGCGAAGGAGGCTGTAGAAGTGTCACCGATTAAAAAGCTGGGAACTGTGAAGACGACCACCACTTCGTCGTCGTCGTCGTCCTCGGATGCTAATTCTAGTTCGAATATATTTGTCAATTTTAAATTTATTGGGCAGCCAGCTACTGTTCAGGCTATCGATGCTCCATTGTAAGTTATTATTCTTGTTGTTGTTTATTTCATTTGAATTAAATGAAATGACATTGTTTTAATTATTGATGATTTATTGTTTATTTTAGTAAAGCTGTGTTTGACGAACTCAAGAGTAGTAGTAGCGGTAGCATTTCTAAACCTATGGATAATCAGACTTCGAATTCGTAAGTATTCAACTTTATGTATGGATTGTGTCGTGTGATTTGACTAATCATCGATGAAATTTTACCTTCAGTATTTCCACATCGCCATCGAGCGGATTCAAATTTGCACCGACGTCCACATCTTCCTCCTCTCTTCCTTCGAGTTATCCAAAATTGAATGGAATCATTCCTGGAGCATTTGTACCGACGCCAGCAAAGCCCTCTACAAGCCCTATGGGAGGATTTACGTTTTCTGTACCTCCCCCACAACAACCTGCTGCAAATTCCACCACTTCAAAAGAAGACGAAGAGACTGAAGAGCCTCCGAAGAATGAATTTAAACAAGTCCGTGAGGATAACGCATTATACGAGGCTCGGTAAGTTTGTTATTAGATTAAATATTTTTGAGGTGTTCTTAATAAAAATACTTAATTTGAATGTTCTCATTATGTTCAGGTGCAAGGTGTTTGCAAAAATTGGAGGCTCATTTAAGGACAAAGGAGTGGGTCAACTATTCGTAGTTAAGAAACCTGAGAGTGAAAAGTATCAAGTCGTCGTGCGAGCCGAAAATACCTTGGGAACTATCTTGTTGAATATTCTTCTCCAGAAGGGCATCCCATTGTCGTCGAAAGGGAAGGACGTCATGACTTGTGATCCAGCAGGAGATGATGGTAAACCGGTGATGATTCTCATTCGGGTAAAAAATCCAGAGTCTGCCACCGAGCTTTTGTCTAAACTTCAAGGATTTTTAGCTGAATCTTAGGAATTACTGCCCCGTTTAACATATTTTAATTTAATATAAATTCGTTATCCTGCAGATTTCTAAACATAATTGTCATGTGTCGTTTACATGGTATTTACTGACAAACCCCCTGATTTATTAAATATGAAATAAATGTGTGATTTTCAAATAAATAAATATGTGTCCATACATATGTATTAGCTTTTAGCTTGAAAAAAAAACTACATCCTGCAGAAAATGATACTTTGTTTTTATTTTGCATTCACAACGCCAACCCATTGATGAATGATGTATTTTTGCTAGTTTTCTCCACATCGCATGCTTAAAGTTTATGCAAGAATTTAGGTGTAAAAAAGTCTCATGTTAAGAAGAATACAGCACGTAAGGAGGTTTCGTACTTTGCAACAATTTATTAATTCATGGTACATCGTTTATCTCCACGTGATATCTCTAACTGTAAACTACATTAGGTAAAAAAGGCCGTTTCTATTCTACAAACTATCTTAATATTAAGTAATAATACATCATGATGATAGCTGACGGGGAGGAGACGACATGGAAGGAGAAGAAGTACAATTACAATTTACATGTATAGTTTAGCGTAATGTTGAAGCCACTTATCTTAAGGTTTACCAAAAATGCATCAAGTTCTGGTTTGCAAACAAAAAAATCCATGTTAAATCACTGTACGTGATCAGATTTGGTAAATTTCCACAATAAAATGAGATTTTCTAGTGTGCTCAGTGTGTGGAGAAAGGAGAGACTGTAGAAAACTAATTAATATCACTAGACGTGTAGACCCCAGCATTGCACTATTAAATGGACAACATGTAGCTGCACATGTACAAATAACCAAATATTTCCACTACTCCTCTCTCAACACACAACATTGCATTTTAAGCTAGTATGGGTTTGATGGTAATATTTTGTATGAAAAAATAGATTCACATGATGATGATGAAAAGCTAATAATTCATCCAAAATTCCAAACAACTCTATGAAACAAGTTGAACGATGCAAGGCAACAATTGCAAGAAAAAATAATTGTGATGATTTCTACTTCTACATACATATTTTAGCACGGACAGCAGCAGGGGTTATTCATTCAGTGATGTTTAATAGAAATGTAAACAGTTTAATAAGGGTCAAAATATTCATTCTTGATTCTCTAGCGTGATGATAATGTAATGATTATGGTGTATGGTCAGCGAAGTTACATCAAGTATTAACTAAAATCTATTGGTTTGGTAATCTAACTAAAGCAAATTCATAACTAATTTCTATTGGGTATTGACCGTCAACAAGAAAGTCATAGTTTTCATACATAATTTTAACAGTATATAATATGTAATATAAACAATATAATTCAGTTTAGGGGGAAAAAGTCAGTGATGATTAATTATTAGTATTGGTTGGTAGGTGTTGAAGACTGAGATCTGTTAACATACTATTAATAATCATGTTGTAATTTTATGAATGACAGGTAATACAATATAACTACTCCTACTAATAGCTCCTCTTTCTCTCTCTCTAAAGCCGTCGTCAATACAAAAAGTCAACAACAAGTAATCAAGAAACGTGTACAATTTCATAATATTAGTCACGACAACAACTAATCACTGTACCGATAATTCCAAGGAAGGCAAGTCTAATTCACCAACCACCCATATCTATCTAATAATAAGATAATTATCATCACCATCATTATTTAGTTAGTTAGTATAGGCGCGTACAATTGACTTCTTATCTACTGAGTAATTTTGTCTCTAATTACTTGCATCAATATCACTTTTAAAACTTGCTCTCATCATACCTACCAAATCTCAAATGACACAAATATGTGTGTACGAGGTCAATATTCTTGGCTGGACAGTTGACTCGTCGCAAAAAAAGACAAAAAATTACAAATTATATGACGAGATTCTGGCAGCATATTATACAAATCTAACTCGATTGGGCTTTCTCTTCTTATCCACTCGCTCAGAATAACACTTTCACCAAGTGCTTTCCTCCTCATTCATTATACATCTATTACAACAGCCAAGGCAAATTCTTATTGAATGACGACGACTAATATCCTTCCCATAAACTCGAGTCTTTTTACAACACACATAACGCTGTGTTATCCAACCAACAAAATTTTTACTCTTATGCGTATGTATATAGTATCACTTTAATATACTATAGTCACTAAACAAGGAACAAGTACGTGGAGAACTGGACCAATAGAGTGTAATTAAACTGTATATTTTACCCGATAAGAACCTCATCCGCACAGAACCAGTCATTAGAGAAGAAGGAGTACACTGTATACAACAGTGTAAAGTCAAGACTAAAAATAAAAAAATATGAGATAGAATATAGCTTGCCCCCTAATTACCTAGCACAAATATCCCCCTGTTGCGAGTTATACAATGTAGAGAATAGTGGACGAGCGAGATAATTTACTGCAGCAACACAAATATTGATGCCTCATTTACAAAGATACTATTATTTGTAGCTGCTTCTAGCAAGTAATTCATTTCATGACGCTGTGCATAGATAAAGCAGTAATTTTGTTATAACGTAATACAAAGAGAATACGTTGGTTTTCAACATGATCATCAATATATATATTAACAGCGTAAAACTACAAAAACGTTAAATGTTGGACACAGTTTCCTCAACAAGAAGAGGTGGGGACGATGGAAGGGTTGTTTTTTGGGGGTCGTGGGTGTGGTGGTGGTTACACAAAGTTGTGTCTCTGACTGATTGTAACTCAACCCTGTGACTACTACTGCACCACACGCCACGCCACGCCAACCCATTCACAACTCCACGGCGATGAGATAATGTCTGATAATTTGTCTAATTACACACGAGTACAAGTAGTTCAAGAGTGGCTATCATAGGTACTGGTATATAGTAGAAACGTTAGTAATCATCAATTGAGATATATACACACAACTTTCTCTCCTTTCTCCCAGTAATACTTGTAAATCTAAAAAAATATTACGACTACTACGGTACAAAAATGTCTAAATCTAATATCGACAAAATTCCTTTCGCATATATGGTTGTGCAAGTCGTTCTACTCTTTACTCTTGTTTGTTGATCAAAAATTACCAACTCAACAATAACCGATCGACCACACATCTCATACCACAAAACTTATCCATAGAGAAAGAGTAAGAATTTAATATAAAAAATTAAGGAACTACCTCGAACTCTCGTCTGTTTCTCTTAGTTGTCTATTGAACAAAAAAATCGAGTCATTACTTCTTAGTATTATGTAGTAAGTAACCTAAACATATTGTAAATTTTCTTTTCTCTGATTAAGTGCAGTGAAAGCGAGACAGTAACAATGCGATATTTGAAGAAAGATTTTACGGACGTAGTGAGTTGTTGTAATAATAAATCTAGGTATCGTAAAAACTAATCAGCCTAGTTGTTGGTTATTTTAGCTGCGATTCGGAGTTCGGTGGATCATTGTTGACATTGATGTAGGCATTACTTATTTGCGTACATTCCTACTTTAAGATTGTAGATATTTACAGTCTATCTATTGAATAGTTTGGCGAATCCAATCCATCACTTCTTCGTCTCTCTCTTCCTGCCTCTGAGGTTTGACTTCACATCAATTTCAGTAATGTCAGTATTAATACATATCCATTAGTTCAGTAGTAGTTGAGGTTGTTGTAGTTGTTACTGTTATTAGTGTTGTTGATTTGAATGAAAAATACAAATATTCTACTGGATCCCCTGATTTTGAAATACACAACGTTCGCCATCCTGAGTTTGTTGTCTGTTCCTTTTTCTAGTTGTGAGTGAGTCATCTTTTTCTTCGTCTTCTTTGTGCACATTTAATAGTGCACCTCATATATTTTTGTTAGTGATTAGGTAAAAATTGATTTACACACGAATGTGTATGGGTAAGTCTCAAATTTAGAAGACGATATCCAACACACCAACATGTGAGTTATGGTTGTTGCAGCTTGGATTTCGACTTCATGAGTAGATGTCACTCCCATTGGTGGGGCGAAGGTGGCAACTCGGAGGGGTGGGCAACCGTTGAGCTACAAAGCAATTAATCAATTTTAAAATATGGATACTTAACTGCCTCATGCTTGGTATATATAGTCAAATATACATGACTACATAGAGCATTTATGCACTTCAGAACTGTCCAGACTAAATTACCTGGTAAAACTCTTGAATGCTGCAGAGTGAGGATTAATGCACAAAGGAGTTCGGTTGTTTTGCGCATGGTCCGACACCAATCGGTACAATTCATCTTTAATTTGATGCATTGATACAATTTTCTTCTCCCATCTGTCATCAAAAGGGTGGTCAGCCGAGGGTTCGAGGTCAGGTGCGTAAATTCTCAGTCCAGTTGATGAAGTTCGGCAACATCGGCACATACAAGAGTGGAATCTTAATCGTCCCTCGTCAATGTACGGGTGGTTCATAGCTTCATCCACCGTTACTCGTTTAGCCTGATGATAATAATTATTAATTGTTATCCATATTCTCAAGTCTGTAAAAGCAAGTGTGCTTTTTCAGCTGTATTTTACACTTACGGGATCAAATACGAGCATTTGACACAAAAGATGAACGGCTTCTGGAGTTGCCTGTGGGGACAGAGTGTACAGGGCAGGAAGAGCAGGTTGTTTGTGGGGCTTTTTCAGCATATGAGATTTCGCTCCAGAACAGGCTGATCGAATATCTTCAGGTTTAGGAGTTCCCAATAGGTCGGATATCAGGTCCAACTAAAACATGATAACATTTTACGTGAATTTATTGTACAATAATGTTCCACATAGTTATAAACACGAGATCGGGTTGGCCTCCTCAAAATACCTGTTGTATGGGAGTCTGAGCCTGAGAAACAGAAAAAGAAAATAGGTAAGTTTCATTTTGAAAAGTTTGATAGTGCAACTTTTCATGACCATAGTACTTGTGACATTAATTCTTACTTGAAACAGAATTCGTCGTCCCAAAAGTTCAGCAAAAATGCAGCCCACGCTCCAAATGTCCACCCCATTTGTGTAATGTTTAGCACCCATGAGAATCTCCGGGGCTGTAAAAAAAATATGATATTAGTAGTCATTGGTCAGTCTTTGACTGTTTCTGTCATAATTATTTGCGCTGATAAGTTTTCACATCAGCTTGATTGAAATTTTAAATTTTTATAACGAGATCCAAAATGTCGTACCTCGATAGTACTGAGTTACCACTTCTTGTGTCATTGCTTTCGAGGGATTTGGTTCTTCAACTCGTGCTAGGCCAAAGTCACAAATTTTTAGCACACAATTACTATTCACCAACAAATTCCCAGGTTTTATATCTCTGTAAAATAAGTAAAAAAATAGTTGAAATGACTGGATGTGATTTATTTTGTACTTATCAAGATCAATTGTCAAACCTGTGGATAATTCTCGCAGAATGTAGGTATTTGAGACCTATTACAAAATTAAGGGCAAGTTAGCTTTGTGAAGTCTGGTAATTATAACTAGTCAACTTTTTAAGACCCACCTCGAAGAATCTGGTAAAGAAAGACTTTAATGTGATCGGTAGACAAGTGTTGAGGAGAGACAATGATCTTATGCAAATCGCTCTGCATCAGCTCGGTTATCACATAACTGCAAGAACACAAAAACAACATCATTATTAGTTTCTGTTTTCACGGGTTCATGTTTCCAATAATGACACAAAATAATGATGCTCGCTCACATTTCATGAAAAAAGTCAATGTGAGGCGGTTGTAAAATGTCAAGGGCTGAAAGGACGTTGTCATGTTTGAAGAAGCACAACATTCGCAATTCGCGACAAACTCTCCTTGCAGACACCAACGATTGGAACACATTCGGAAGTTTCTTGAGTGCTACACGTTTCCCGTCGCGGGGGTCCGTGACAGCCCTGGAATTAAGAAAAAAATCACATCATAAGTAAAATGACACAAATGGGTACTTCACATCTTAATCCATTCTTCTCTCTCTTTCTCACAAACGAATAGCAGAATTCATTACGTAGTTAAATGTGACACTGATGATAACGCCGGTAAAGTATATGACGTAAATAAATTTTGATGCAAAAGTTGTGAAATTCATTATTACTTGAGCCAGTCTGTAAATCATTGCTAGCATAATACATGCATATTGCGCCCACCATGCCTTTACTTTGGTGTCTCTGTATGTGTACGTATTAGGGTAATAAATTCGTTTTTCGTACATTCCTTGTACTAATAAGCACTTATTTGCACCCAAAGACTTTAGGAAGCAAGTAAGTAGTGCATATGAGAGGACATGACAGCAGGTAGTCGTCGGGCTACGTTCTTGGTGGTCAAGCGAGTTTTGAAATTCTTTTATTCTGACAAACGTGATACGAGCAAGTACAAAGCCACCAGTGCCAAGTAGCATCATAAATAAATAGCAATAAATTTGCCTGTGCAATGCTTCCGCTCTTATTTTCAACGGAAGGAACATCGTCAGTTTATCTTTGCAGAATTTCTCATCATTATTATCCGCACATGCACATGTTATTCCAATTATGAGAAAATAGCAATTCAATAACACTGCGTGCATCAAGTTGTTTTGGGTGTCCGATTGTAACAGTTAAATAAATAATAAATAAATACGAGCAGTCGTTACTTATTAGCAGCTAGCTGTGGACACATGTATGCATATGTACGTACGATATGTACATTCGTCTCACACGCCAGACCCTCATCTATATATAACCAACCAACTAATTCCTGATCCAAAACTTGATTATGCGTCTCATTTTGCACAAGTTGCAATCAATTAACAAAACAGTAGTATTACGCACTCTTTTCCTAATAATAATAAAGGAAACGCAACAACACAACTCGCTCAGAGATAGATCGACGCTCTTCATTTATCATTGGGCCAAAGAGTGGGATATATATTTTGTGTGGTGTGGAAGACAATGCAAAGCATGCAATAGAGAGGAAAGTATGTCAAGTCAATGGGTTGGCCTATTTACTCAACATCAACGCGAACCAACATCACATCACAACCACCACGCTGACAACTGAACAGTTGGCTTCCCTTTGTGCAATTTTAGCCTCCTTATTACCAAGCAAGCAATACACACAGCCTTGCGTTGCAACAAGCAAGAACGTTTCATGTTGCGAATTTCGACATCCCGTTGCCAATTTGGTGCAACGCATGCAATGATGATATCAACAACGACACAGGAGAGTAGAGTGCTCAGCTTATCCCACTTGCGAATTATCTCCTGTAGAAGAGTCTGTTTTAGTGATGAACCACCTCCTACGCCAAATCATTGTGGAGAGGAGTCGACGAGGTTTTTCTTAGAAATTCCTCCACAAATTAATCCAATGAATTGGATATAATAAAATGAAATAACAATTCTAGTCGCCCAATAATCAATAATACACAGACATGCAAGGATACATACGTACATTCATCAATTCTCCAGTCCGCCAGTTCCATGTAGGTACATACGTCACGTAGGTTTGGTTTGGTCTTGGAAATGATGACGGGTTTCTTTTTCTTCAAATATTTCATATATGCGACCATTTCTTTAGTAATTGCTACAAAAGCTAAATTGACAGCATTGTCCCACTTTGAAGGCAAATATTGATCGGCAATCGCTGAACATATATCGTCATCGTACAACAAGGTCACCATTTCCCTTTGGATGTAGTTTAAATGTCGAAAGTATCATATTTACATGACTTTTCGCACTTATTTGCAACTTTTCGCCCCCACGCCTCATATGCCGATCACACACACCTAATATAGATACCGACACAGCTCTGTCCTCCTCCTGCCGAAAAACATTCCTTCTTCGAAGAGTGTGCATGCATGGTATAGAATTCCCAAAGATTGGCATTGTTTATTCATCGTCAAACACAATAAACCATTAATCACTCTCGTATTTGATGTAATAGTCGCATCATATGCTAATTACGGGGTTATCTTACATGTCGAAAAATAATACTCCACAATGACATCATCAATTTTATCTACACATCTAACCACCACAAATCTTTAGCTCCTCGATGAATTGAAAGTTGAACAAGAAATAGTGTAGCCGTGTGGCGTGCTTGATGTTACAGTAACTGTTACTGTTGCAATAACTCACCCGAAAATATGTAATATGTAATAGGCAGATGGGAACAGGCTCATTCAGTGGTAAAAGTGGTTTTGTTTGGTGTGGATACATGAAATGACCCAATTGGCAGAGGAATCTAAGTCATCGCTTCTCTAAATCTCGAAAATCTCGATATCACCGCATTACAGAGGATAACTTGAGCCACATCTACATAACCTTTGGCCACCCTCGTTGTATACATACTCCCTTCTTCGAGCTCATGTATTTACTTGGGTATGCAGCACATTAAAACCCACCCGTGCAATGCATGCCCCATTGTTTGGTTGGAGACGGCGACAAACTATTTTTGGGGTGTTAATTAACCAACCCGATAAAATTCAAGTTCATGAGTTAAATTGCCTGAAAGATGAAGGCCTTTTAAATAAACAAGAAATGTTTTGTCATCCTGATAGGAATATGTGGTTTTCCTACAATATACATACACTTGTCCTACTGCAAGAGAGACAAAATTATAATAATAATTCCAAACAGGGTGAGACCCCACAAAGAGAACCAATAAAAGTTATTTCGCTTCGCTACACAATTAAAAAAACCACACAGCATTTACGTTGTCTAAGGTTAGGCTGTCACATTAAAAGGGTATTACTTATCGTCCATGGTACTTTTGTTGTTTGCAGTATGAGCCAGCAAAAGTGCAAAAGTGTGCTGGTTTATGCATACCAATTCAAACAATTTATACGCTAGAATAACTGCATTAAAAACCAGGGAGGAATTAAAAAAACGTTCTTTTAACTATTTCTCCGTTGCTCTGGTTGGCTTCGTGTATCTACCACACCAAACGCACCACTACTGAATCGTATGCCCCATTAATTCCTAGCAGTAAATCCTCTCTTTAATTTGCTCAAAAACGGGGCTCAATTAAAAGCAAGTAACCGACCCAGCTTATTCATGTTCTGGTCAGCCATTCAGCTTTCTATCATGTATGTATGTACATATTTATTTGCTGCACGAAAAAAAATCAACTTGTGCTTCATTTGAACATTATATTATTTCCATCTCAGAATATACATACGCGTTCCTTATTGAATGATGACAGCAAAGTTCGTTCAAGTTGGCCTAGGTTACGGAAAGAAAGCTGCCAACAACGGGGTCATGCATGTTACCCGAGCACCGGATTGACCCAATTTTTCCTCATGAATTATTAGTGTGATCGACATTTGTCGCTGAGTTAGAGCTTGGTCTGGTCCCGGATTTTCTTGCCGCCTGTCCTCCTAGTGCTAGTAAGTACTTAGTAATAAATACTTGGTACTAGTTATCGCTCCACTTTCAGAGTTCCAATTCGCAATAGACTCCAAATTCCATTACTCTCCCACTCAATGGCAGTATAATTGACCTGGCTGGGTGCTACAACTATTTGTCACGAAGCAATTAATCCCCCAATCACTACACATACTTGGTCGTACAAAGAACCAGGAAAAAACAGAACGTTTGCAGTTTCATCACAAAATACGCCGAGCACGACGACACGGAAACCTGCTTCCTATACAGTTCTTCTATATCATCATCCACCACTTCATCATGTATCGACTCTAACCATTAGCATAATTTTTATAAAATCCTGTCTGCCTGTCTGTCACTGCAAAAATTATTTTATGTATGCATTTTAATACATACATACTTGCTACATGTACGTACACTACTTGCAGCATATGTCTCTTGGGTGGGACTATCAGTGCCAACAAGCTTTCACCTATTGTCATATGGACGGACGAATAAAAAGATAATGCTAATTAATTGAGAATGCTGTTGTCGAGTCTCAGTGATGCGTTATTCCTGCTATCGAGATGGGCTTGCTCACTGTTGACAACAAGGCTGGCTGGTGATAATTGAAAGCAAATGAAGTCCACACAAACCAATCCAATGGAAATATTAAGATGCATGCATCCCATCAGGATGTACTTGACCAATTTTATTTGCCCATGCAACAAATCCATAGTGCATGCATTCTAATGAAAAAGGTTTAAATTAAATTTGCTGCTGCTGAGATTAAATATTCAAACATGAAATGGGGTTTAAAATTTAATCAGCGTATCATATTTGAAATTCAGATCCGAAGTAAATATAATCTCGAATCTCAATCTCGTTAAACAAACGAAATGCTCATCTCATCAAGAAAGAGTTTGTTCGTCCGTGTTGAAAATGCACTGTTGAGTACACAAAGTATTTACTGTATAGTGAGTCGATAATGGGTAGTGAGTTTCTAATAAAGAAAGTCTTCTCTTAGATATCGGTGCCATACCATAAATGAAATAATTTCGTGATTGCATGAACCAATTATCTGGGTGGAGGAAGAAAAAAAGAATAATGTGATTATTTGCTAGTGCCGGAATCACCAAAGTCTTTTTTTATTTGACCAATGAGCCATCAAAATCATCCTACCACGTTATGAGAAAAGGATAAGAAACGTTCGGCTCACAAAGCACACAAGACGTTTAAGAGAATCAAGAAACGACCAGTCAACCAAAGAGTAAAACTTACTTATACACAACCAAGTCTTAGAGGCATTCATTCATGATGTAGTTTCAACTTGGCCAGTTGTCAACTAACTAAGTGACCTAATTTGTCACATATATTTTGAAATCGAATCGTAGACTATTGTAATTCGAACGACAGCAATCGAGGGCTAACAAATTTCACTAATCCATTATTCATTCGTCACTCACTGACTGAGAGTGAACCAAAAGCAGGCCTAAACTTAAACTATGTGCATTTATTGTTGTCGATAAACGTAATACTCCCAACAAACGCATGAAAGT